TCACAATTATTAATATTATTATTGCTTATATATAACTTTTATTTATATAATCATAATCAAGAAGGAAACTTATATTAAAAATAACATGACCTTTACAAAACTATCACTTTTGTAATATAAAATCTAAAAAATGTGTGTTGTCAATATCAATCAATACACATCTTAATATCAAAAGCTCCACATCATCATGATCTTTGCCTTCATCTTGTTTATCTTATTTATCTAGAAATTGAATTACTTCACTGAATATTTCATCTAGTGTGGATGCTTTGACATTGATCAGTATAAAAAGGCAGACTTTAATAAGGGGGAAAAACTTCTTACCTAAATCACCTACTTTTAAATTACAATACAATACTAACCATTGTTTGAGGTTCCAAGATTATCTTCTAAAAACGTCTGGAATTCTTTAAGATCCTTTAAAATTTTTGTATAAGGGTAATTGAGAGTATGGGATAAACTACACATTTTAAATTCTAATTCCGGTCGTACATCTATCACAACTGAACACTCTTTTAAAACACAAAATTTATTGATGTCTACCTCTTGCTCCTTGTCCAGAATATTTATATTTATCACCTGAAACAAAAACACAATATTCAATCCATTGCAATGTCACGTTTTTAAGATTTTGCAGAAATTACTAGTTGGCAGTATGAAATTTAATTATTTAATAAGGCAAAAAAGGTTTTATTAACATTAATGAATGCATGAATCAACTTGTGATAAAGGCAATAAATGGTATCTTGATTTAAGCTTTTCTTCAGAAATGTTCTTAGCTTCCACATCTTTTTAGTAGATGTTTTTGGCTTTTATTTGCCAATGCCAATTTATGAATTATTTGAATTCTTTAAAAACTTTTAGATTGGATTATCTCTTGGCCTTGGGTTCTTCTTAACCATCATGTACTTTGTTTTATCCTCGTTAATCTTGACCAATATTTTCAAATAAGATAGACTTCCTTTGCAGCTGTAATGGATTGTACAATTAGGTCTTCAACAAAATTCAGTACTGTTTTTAATCACTGGACAAGAACAAAATATTTCTTCTTGTCGAATTAGATGCTTGTTTAAAATCTACTAAAATTTGATGTACATTGTGATTGTATTTCCAGTTCTTTTAATACATGTAGTGTAGGACAAAGATCTGGTCTACTGTTAATCTTCAAATTCTAAAGCCATAGTGATAATCACCTATTACATCTCTGCATAAGAGAAATATTTCAATGTTAGAGGTTTTTCACAGTTTCAATCAATATATGTCCAAATAGACTGAGTAAGTCTTAGCTGAGATTTTCTAAACCTAAGTCCTAGTTGCTATCACTGGCTTCATATATTTTTTCTCTATAATTGCCAACACAATTTGCAATTACATATGTAAATGAAAATGCCATTACATTGTTTTAGTAATTTTATTTTATATCTTGAAGTTTAGTTGGAGATGATGTGGAATCATTTTTTTTTAAGATATGATAAATACTTACCTTATCATGAGCACTAGATCCACAAAATTGTTCATAGTCTATCAAAGTAGTGATAGTAGGTTCGTCACCACACACATCACATTTGGGATTTCTAGGTCTCAACCTGACATTTCTAAACATTGAAGTAGATCCATCAAAGATAAGGAATCTTCCAGAAAGCACACCAGCTGATTGTGTTATAATTTTAATAGTCTCTAGTGCTTGTAAAACACCTATTGTTCCAGGAACTAAAATAAAATGAATTTGAATATTATGAAATATCAAATAAAATTTAATGTGATGACTAAATCACAGTTAACATAAAATTTTAACAATAAGTTTACAAAAGGATTCATTTAAAAATGTAAATTTAAACAAATTTGCTAGTCAAACTTGTTTTAACATAATTAAAAAATGAATTACTAAGAAATTGCCTTTAATAATGCCATTTCATAGGAAATGATATTACAGTGCATGTAAATCTTCTATGATAAACTCATCACTAGTCTTTTTGTTAGTCTTGTTTCTTATAAATTCTCAACCAATCACTCTCTGCATTCTAAATTTGTTTGGCCACATTGGCTGAAGTTATGAAAGTCATGGCACTTTCTTTCTTTTCTTTCCTTTACTTAAAGGATAAAAATATGAGGGTTTCAAAAAGATTTTCCTTATATGGAAATTTAAACTCTTATATGTATCCTTTAGTAATTGCAAACAAGGATTTTACTCTGGGCAGTTAGCAATTGAACAACATAAGATATGCTGATGATACTGTCATTTTTGCAGACAGTCTTGAAGGTCACTTCAAGCCACCTGGACACATGTCTCCAGGGTGGCAGAAGTAAGTAGCAGGTTTGGGCTTGATTTTAACATCAAAAAAACCAAATACATAGTTATAAGCAAAAATAGGATACTACCTGGTCAATTACTAGTTAACCAATTAAAAAAATAAAAGTTTGTTTACTAAAATGCTATGTATTCTGCGTTCTTTTATATGGCGTGGAGCCATGGACCTTAAGTGAAGCATCACTGAAGAGACTCAAACGATTTGAGATGTACTGTTATAGACATCTGTTGAGTATTTCCTGGATACACAGAGTTACCAATGAAGAAGTACTACATAGAATGGGTAAAGAGCGCCAACTAGTTGTAACCATAAAATGTCACAAACTGGAATACCTGGACCATATAATGCACAATGAACAATGATTAGACCTACTTCGGACCATACTTCAAGGTAAAGTGCATGGGAAAAGAGGTCCAGGACGAAGAAGAATATCCTGGCTGCATAACCTATGAAAATGGTTTAACTTAACCACTACCAGACTTTTCAGGGCAGCATAAGCATTTTCGGGTCAACAAAGTCAGAATAGCTATGTTAGTATCAAACATCTGTAACAGAGAGGCACCATAAGAAGAAGTTAGCAATTTATAACAGCTATCTGTAATCTTAGGGATGTGGTGAATACAGAATACATTGTGTTTCAAGTTTCTTTGTTATGCACCAAGGGATGAAAACATAAATAATTATCACCTGGCCCTAAAACACCCCCATCTCCACAATTAGTAACAGTATGTGCTGGTGGTGGAACTGGAAATAGACATCTGTAGCAAGGTCCATCCCTGTAATGATATACAGTTAACTGTCCTTCCATCTGAAGGGCACTACCAGACACTAAAGGTGTGTTATGCAGTACACAAATATCATTTAGTAAGTATCTCGTAGCTACATTATCAGTACCATCTATAACTACATCATATTTGTTGTTATGTAAAAGGTTTTCTATAGTTTTACTATTAGCATGTTCTCTGATTGGGATAATTTTGATATCACTATTAATTCTGAAACAAAAATATATGTAGTTTCAAAAACTGTAACAGTTATATATTTACCGTTTAAGCTTATTATAAGCTGACATAACTTTTGGTACACCTATATCATCTTCACTATGTAAAACTTGCCTATGAAGATTGGATAATTCAACTTCATCATAGTCAACTAAAGTTAGTTCCCTAAAAGATGATATTTTAAATGACCAAATTTACTTCCAGTGATTAAAGTAATTAGTGATTATCAAAAATACATGCTTACCTATCCCTGCAGTAGCTAGATATAAAGCTGCAGGACATCCTAAACCTCCTACACCTACAATAAGAACTTTACTATTCTTTAGTGCTTTTTGTCCATCTATAGTGATATCTGGCATAATCATTTGCCGGCTATATCTGATAATTTCGTTGGTTGAAATAGTTTTACTTTCAGCAATTGTATCATTCTACAAATTAACAAAAATTAACTACTAGATTATGGGTAAAAAAATCAGATACTTACATCTTTTCTCAGTAACTCTTCCAATAATCTTTCTTTTTGCTTTAATTCCTCCTGCAATTCTTTTATTTCATTTTTCAATGATTCCACAGAACTGTAATGTTCCATTGTTATTAATATTTACTGTGTGATAATTTGTAAAAATAAAACAGAATGTTATCAGATCTTCAAAACATAAATATTGTCACTATTAAACATAACCCACATTTTCAGTGATTGTCACATTAGGTTAGGAACATAGAGAAATAAAAATAAGTGGGAATATTCAGGGCCGGATTAAGGCACGGGCCAACTGGGCCGCGGCCCAGGGCGGCAAAATTTTGGGGCGGCGGATTTGAGAAAAAAAAAGTGTAATTATTTTTGATTGATTATAAAGCTTTATTATCGATTATCAAGACCAGTGAACCTGAGCATTAAATATTAAAAAACTATTTTATTGTTTATTATTTATTTATAACGCGACACTCTGCGCGGTGTAATGTGTCGCAGTACACTACGCTACGCCACTCTATCCAAGTGAGTCGAAGGGGCGAGGCGGCAGTCTGTATCGTACGCTACGCACGGGAAATTTAGTTGTGGGATCGTAGTAGTTGCTAGCATTGGCTGATGGCAGGCGTCTTGTCGCCTTGCCGCTTCCCTCCCCCACCAACTCCATCACCGCCACGCGCCATTGTCATTCGGTTGTCTGGTCTCAACTCCACGTACTGCAGTCTGTCTAACTGTTTAGGTTTAACGTTTTTGTAATTTGTTTTGAGCGGAGTAACATTTTGAAATTGTAACTTGTGAGGTAAGAAATATTTATTTGTTTATAGTAATGGTAATGTAAGTTAATATAGATCTTACATCTAAAGGTTCAGATAAGTTTATGCAGCAGCAGTTAGCACTGGTGTAAGGAGTAGTGAGACGGTGAGAGCTGTGCTGTGTAGGCCGTAAGGCCGTAAGTTGTCAAATTTTGTGGCTATTTAATTTTGCATATTTCGCCATTTTACTTTGTGGTAGTAAGAGAAGCAATGTAATTCGGCATGTTGCCATACGTATAGGTTTCACAATGAGTTGAATAAGTAATGGAAGGAAATTCGCTTCCCTCATTTTTTCGCTTCATTTTTCCTGTCGTATCGTACTACAGTTTTGAATTATACAGATATTCTTTTTTTTACAGTCAGACCTTTACTTCCGATGTCATTGATGCTATAACAAGCAGCTGTACAAATGGATGGACGCAAACGGCTCAGTGGGTGGCAATACAAAAAAGTAGCCGAAGAGAAGAAAAAAAAATTGACAGAAGTTGTAAATAAAACTGCGAAGCTTGATACATTTTTTACAAGAAGTAACCTACCAGTGCCACCAGAACCAGTGCTTTTAGAAAGTGTCAAAGAATTTTGTGAAGTAGAACTAGAAGTATGTTCCATATTAACGCCTTCAGCTTCAACAGCTTCAGCATCAGTGCCTTCAGCTTTAACATCAACCCCTCCAGCTTCAGCATTAGCCCCTTCAGCTTCAACATCAACCCCTTTAGCTTCAGCATCAGCCCCTCCGGTTTCAACATCAACCCCTTCAGCTTCAGCATCAACCCCTTCAGCTTCACCCTCAACCCCTTCAGCATCAGCACCTTCAGCTTCGTCATGTGTTGATACTGACAAGATCAAACCAGCTATATCCGAATTAACTTTTGTTGTTGACGAGATTGAAGATCAATTAACAGTCTCTGAACCTGACTCTTCTGTCCATTTGAAACCAAATTATGATCCTGCTTTATGGATAGTGAATGAAGAGACGCGGGAATATTTTGTTAAAAATGGATGGAATCAAAATAAAGATTGCGATTTTAAAAAATCTGAAAGGCAATATCCAGACAGGAAAAGAGTGTTGGCTAAATGGCTATTCGACAGAAAACTTGCAAATGGCGAAATTGTAAATAGAGATTTCTTGATTTACTCACCAAGTTTAGGCTCTTTGTTCTGTGGTCCATGCAAATTGTTTAGTTCGACCTCTACTCAGTTTACTGAAAATGGGTTCAGTGATTGGAAACATGCATCAGCGAGAATAAAAGAGCATGAAAACTCGCACGTTCACTACAATAGTGTAATAGTATACAAACAAAGAGCAGAAGCAGCCGGGAGGATCGATAAGCTTCTACAAAACCAAGTGGAAGAAGAAATAAGGTATTGGAAGGCAGTTCTCCAGAGAGTGGTGGCCGTAATAAAAAAACTTGCCTCGCGTGGTCTTGCCTTTAGGGGGACTGACGAAAAATTTGGTTCTTTTTCAAATGGCAACTATATGATGTGCTTGGAGCTGATTGCCGAATTTGATCCATTTTTGAAAGCACACATTGAAAAATATGGGAAAGCGGGTAAAGGCAATCAGTCATACCTATCATCAACCATTTGTGAAGAACTCATCGAAATAATGGCAAAAACCGTTATTGATACAATTTTGAATGATGCTAAGAAAAGCAAGTACTATTCTATAATAGTAGATTCCACCCCTGATGTAACACACATTGATCAATTGTCTTTCATATTAAGGTATGTGAATGAATTGGGAATCCCTGAAGAACATTTTGTTGAATTTATGAAAAATCAAGGTCATACAGGTGAAGAACTAGTGAACTCAGTGCTTTCTTTCCTACAGTCGAAAGGATTGGACATACAAAACTGTAGGGGACAGTCCTATGACAACGCGTCAAATATGTCAGGAATGTACTCGGGGTTGCAGGCAAGACTTAAAGAAAAGAATCCCTTGATATTTTATGTGCCTTGTTCAGCGCATTCACTAAATTTAGTGGGATCAAGCGCAGCAGAATGCTGTTCTCTTGCAAAACATTTCTTTGATCTCTTGCAAGGATTGTACAATTTTTTCTCGTCTTCTACGCACAGGTGGAATCTTCTTCTGTCAAATTTCACGGCCACAGGAAAGGACAAGAACACGTCGTTGAAGTCTCTCAGTGTTACAAGATGGTCTGCAAGGGAAGAAGCTTGCAAAAGCCTTAATAAAGACTACAAACCCATGGTCAAGACGCTGATAGACATGACTTCAAGCAATCATGAAAACAAACAGACACAATCCAAAGCCAAAGGGTTGTTGCGAAAACTAATGTCTCTAGAAACATGTTTCATGGCAGCCCTTTGGGGAGATGTACTTCAAAAATTTAATTCAGTCAGTGAAAAGATCCAGGCTGAAAATATGACCGTGGACAGCGTTGTAATCCTGTACAACTCACTCACAGAGTATGTGATGAACATGAAAGACATGTTTACCCACTATAAGAAAGAGGGCGAAAAAAAACTGCAAATTGCGCAAGGTGAAATGAGACAGAACGATGAGCCAGAACTTCCACAAGAGACGCAGCCGCAGGTGCAGCAAGATTTTGATCGCCCAAAAAGAAAGGCGAAAAGAAAGAGGTTCTTTGATGAATCTTCAGAAGAAGATGAAGAAAGAACTTATGATGAGGATGATGACATTAGGGGAAATTGTCTTCAACAAAGTTATGACATCATCGTGGAAACACTTCAGTTTCAGTTAGACAAAAGGATCTCTGTGTACACAGACTTCGTTGCAAAGTTTTCATTTCTAACAAAATTAAAGACTCTAACTACCGAAGAAATTACTGCTAACGCGACGTCTTTGCAGAAAATCTATATTGAAGACATTGAAGAGTCAGAGTTTATATGCGAGTGCATCCATCTGAAAGGACTTCTGATCCGAGGAAACTACAAAGAAGCCGAAAAAGACTTTTCACTATCAAACTTGTACAGATTTTTGATAGAAAAAAATCTACAGGACTTGTTTCCCAACGTGGCTATTGGTTTGAAAATGTTTTTGACAACTCCTGCTACAAACTGTTCTGCTGAGAGATCGTTTTCGACCTTGAAAAGAGTAAAAAACTATCTGCGTTCAACAGTGACTCAAGAACGACTCGTCAGCCTGGCTGTTTTAGCCATAGAACATGAACTGACAACAAAACTCGATTTCAGTGCAGTTGTTGATGATTTTTCCAATGCACGTGCAAGAAAGAAGAAGTTTTAAGTTATATTTACTTTAACAAAGCTAATTTAGTGAGTAAGTTATTTGTTTGGATATGTGATTTGTATGCTCTGAACAGTTATATTTCGATGTTGTATATATTTGTTATTATCCTATATTCAATACAGAAATTATCATTTATTTTGCAGTCTTACTCTGTACACCTTTTACTAATTTTAGCCCCTTCCTAACTGTCCTGTTTTTGCCATAAATCGACAGCAATGACCGATTATGGCTCAAAGCCTGCGGGCACATTCACAGGTGAGCCGTCGCCGAGTAACGAAGCCGAATTTTCACTTCACTCCAAATCAATCATTCTCAGCCAAAATAGTCATAAAACTATAAAAGAATTGTTGAGTTTGGGAATTACGAGCTGCATGATGTTTCACAAAATAATATCAACAACGATTTTATTTACTATTATTGTAATCTTAAGTAATGGAATATCACGGTTGTAGAAAATGGTTTCGTAATTAACGGAGTTTTGTCAAATAGTTTATTTTAATTAATAAAACGCAATTTTAGGACATAGTTTCTTGTTTTCATCATGAGAGGTACTAAAACCATTACAATATCAAGAGACAGTTGAGCGCTGGAAAATGTCCCAAAATGCGTTATTTTGCCTCTAAATTTCAATTTTTTTCGGGGGGGGGGGCCCGGGCCCCCCCCCCCCCCCCGGTGTTGCACCCCCGCTAGGGCGGCAGGCAGACCTCTGGCCCATGGGCGGCAAAAGTGTTAATCCGGCACTGGGAATATTACATTCGTTTTTAAAATTATCCAGTAAATTTTACCCAAAGTTCATAGACCTATAGTAAGGTAAGTCCCATAAGAAAGATTTGGGAGAATTTCTAGCGCCATAGGCGGACGGGCTGAAACTAATTTTAGTTGACAGTTGAAGTTTAAAAAATATATTTTCTGAATTGAAATTCAAAAAGTATGCTTTTAACGGAATATAAATATAGTCATAAAATAAGAAATAAACTTATTCTATGCCAAAAAAATATATTCTCTCTGTCTAAAATATAGTATACACTTATGCATTTTTATATATAAATGTATAATATAATATCAGAAAGAGAGAGTATATTATGGTACATGAAAATTTTTATTTAATATTTTATGACTATATCTGTTTTCTATTACATTAACAAAAAAGGCCTGAAAACAACAAAATAAAACACAGATATCTTGACACTTGTTTATTTGTATAATTTTCTTTGGTAAAGTATTGGATTCAAATCTCCTCCAAAACTGTTTAGAAATGAGTTATTGTAAATTTAAGTTGTGATTTTAGCAGAATTTGCTGCAATCTTTGTTTTTTGGAAAACATTGTGGTAGGTGATCTTTGAGTATAAATCATTAATAAATATGCAAAGCTACATATGGCAACAGCACTTACATCAACGTCATACGCCTTTTGCTATGTCATACGTCAATCTAATGTGACTAGTAGCGCTGTCGCCAGTATGATCGGCTGGACCCATACAATTAACTCTCCCCACTTGTACTATTTCAGTTACACTACCACTTGTGGTATTTACTGTGAATTTAACGATTGTCTATTAATTTATCGTAAAGCGACTTTCACAGAATCTTTCGATATTATTGTCATGTTTTGTTCTCCATAATGTTTAAATTCCATACTTTTGAACTTATTTTGACATTCGCCTGACAATAATAAAAATGACATTACACACGAGATTACCTGTGACCTGTGAAGTAAAAGAAAACACAAAATTATAAAAAATTTATTTTGATGAAAGAAAATTCAAATTTTGTGTTCATTATTGTTTTTCACTTAAGTGTTGTTTACAAACTGGGCTAAATGTATTGATTTATAATTACTAATTTTCAGCTACGTTTATTTCAAAACTTCCATGGAATCTCAGAGTCTATTAGGATCTCACAATACTGCTTTAAATAGCAGTGGAAGTACTGCAACCGTCACAGATGAAGAATGGACCGAAGAATCCAGTAACAGTTCTTATTCGGATTCGGACAGGTTGTTATTTAATTTCCTAGCCATTAATTTTGATTCCTAAGAACTAATTTTAATTTTTAGCACAATTCCAGAATGGGAACCCTATGTAGACGACTTCACTGGAGAGTTGTTATATATAGAATGCCATCCATTCGTTGTGCAAAATAAAGACAGTAAAATAAATAAAGTCGCAACATCAGAACCACTTACTAGAACAAACCTGAGACGAAGTACTAGGGGAAAGTTTTTAAAACTTTTAAGGAGACGAGATAGTAAAAGAAAAAGTAACAAAAATCATAAATCAGTGGATATTAGTGAGACAAATACTTCTAAGGTGAAATTTCAGGTAAATTTATATGCAGATTTAATTTGATTTAGCTTATAAGTACATTGCATCTTATCAATAGCATATCTACATCATCACTGTATCAACAAATACTTAAGAATTCTTTAACAACAATTTGTATTGTTAGTTAACAGTACTTAGCAGTTTTTTTATCATGTAGTTCTAAACAAATGTATTAATAATAATAATAATTGGTCCTTATTGCATGCTTCCTCACATCTCTACTATTTTTAAACTATAAATGTTGTGTGAAAATGAAAACATCAAAATTTAATGATATTCAATGGATTTATAAGGAAATGACTAATATATATTTATTTCCAGGAGCTACATGAAGGAGAAGAGAAAGAGGTAATGTTGGAAATAGATGCTGAGAACCGACACAACCTTAGTAGTGATAAATCTTTAGCAGAATCTTTACTAGGACTGATTGTAAGCACATTATCTGATGGAAACAGGGTAATGATTGCTGGATTTTCATATGACAGCAAAGCGAAACAGGAAAGGAACATAAAAATTGGTGACTGGTTGAAAAGTATCAACAACATTGAAGTAAATGTTCAAAATTTAGATGATATTCTCCAAAAATTTATAAATAGGGATGAAGTTCTCTTGAAGTTACAAAGAGTTGCTGGAATTGAAGTTACAAAAGATCCTCCTATAAATGAACTGAATATAGAATCTGATTTTGTTAGGGAACTGCTAAATACCAAGTCAGATGAAGAACACATGCTTTTTCAAGCTCTGTGTAATCATCCAGTTGGTGTTGTTTATATTAATACAGAAAATCTTAGTGAGAATAATCAAAATAATGAAGATGTTACATACTGCTTTCCTAGACCTTTACAGAAAAATATTTTAGCTACTTCCAGAGGTATGTTCATAACAATTAATCATTTATTGTTTGACTTAACAAAAAGTAGACCCAGAGTGACCACCATTAAATGCAATGGTCAGTTAACCAATGTTGTGTTCACAAATGATGAAAAAAACCTATTACTCCTTATGTTGCCAGACAACCGAGTCTCGAAACAAGAAATATTGTTGTTAAATAATGAAATTATTAGATTATTAAAATTCTGCTATGAAACTATTGACAAATGTTTCACAACTGAAAAATACCTCCCTCAAGTAGACCACTTCTTTTCAAAATTTTTTGCAAGAACTCTTAGTAGTGGTTTGTGGAGCACAGCACAACAATCTTTGGCTTTGGAAAACCTAGAATCAAAAGCAAAAGAAGTCAGCCCCTGTCAGTTTGAGGACTTGATGCCTGTTGCACCTACTTTGTGTCTGCCTGATGAGGCTCAGCTTCAGATAGATGATGCCTTATCAGAATTAGAGGCAAGTGATTATAGAGACTGGGTAAGTATTCAATGTTGCTTTGTAACCTGTAAAGTGAAATCCTTTCCATTTATAACTCTTTTGTGTATATGGATGTTTTGGTCCCATTTATAGATAATAGTGACATTAAAAAATAGTTAATGGATGACTTTTGGTAACATATTTTTAATTTATAACTTTCTTTAGAATGAAGACCCATTAGACTGTCAAAGACTGTTCACGGTTCTGGGCAGTGCTCTCTTTCATTCAGGATACCTGTTGGCATCACATTTTATTCATGAAGATTTGATAGATGTCTTTTGTTTCTGCAAACAGCAAGGATTATTCCATTTATCAAGAACAGAACCTATAAAATCGCTTGTTCTTTGGAAGGAGGTATTTCCATCGTCTTGCAACAAATTGGAAAATACAAAAATTGTTATTCCTGAAGGAAGAAGGTATTTGTTAATAGTGGAAAGTGGAAAAGTAAGTATTTTAATTATAATATCTCATTAAGCCCCAAATTTTGAGTTTCAAGTTTTAACAACCCATTAAAAAATAAATACTTTCTTTAGCAAAATCAACATATTGCCTCTTTATATGAAACTGAGTATGCTCTCAACTAGGGTCATGACATTATTAACACTTCAACATAACATGTTTAAAAATTTTAAAGCTTTTTGTTGCTATATTTACCTTTAGAATATAGTTATTATTATCATTACTTAATCTTCTTCTTCAAGTGCCATCTCCGTGGCGGAGGTTGGCAATATCATGCTTTTCAGGGACTTTTCAGACTGGCCTGACTCTGAAAAGATTCGGTTTTTATGTACATCGCTACCACTACTCTGCCAGGTTGTGCAGCTATGACATTATACGCCTTAATATACTATCTTGTTCCTCATTTCTTGTGTTTTCGATATTCTCATAAAGTTCTTCTTATTGATGTTCATTGTTGACCATACTCTCTTTTCATTCTTTGCTATTGTGGTCACCGTCTTGATGATCTTTCAATATTTTCGGCTTAAACTTTTAAATCCACAGTGTCCTCCCTCTTATCGAATGTTGTTGAATGGGAACCTCATTTTACCTTTATGTCTCCAGCTGTTTAACCCTTAATGGGCGTTTTTTAGGATCTCATCAGAGAAGACATTAAATAATTGGCGACATACGCCACCCTGTCTCAATCCACAATCTAATTTCAATTTCTTCTGACAGCTAGTTTGTGCAAATAAATACTTTTGCTCGCTGTTATATAGTATAAATTTGATATGATGATGAGGTCATTGTTGTAAATATTCTTTGATTTTGGATATTCATTAATTATTTATGTCATAATTTATTGAATGCTTTTATATGTGAATTAAAACATGCATATATATCTTATTGACGTTCAGGTATCTTTATATCTGTATATTAAGTGAAAAAGAGCCTTCACGCATTCACTAGGACTTTTCGAAAACCAAATTATATATCATTAACATCTATGTCCAGTTTGTGATATATTATATTAGGTTATGGGTGACTTTTAGTAGTAACTTTAACACATGAGACATCAAGCTAATGATGACATAATCGCTGCATTCTCTTGCGTTTACATTACTTAATAATCATCTACTAAATTGTATCACATATAAAGTTCAATGCATTTTAAGATATTATAATTTATTTACATATGAATTATGTTAGTAATTCTATATAAATATCTGACAATTTCCGTTTACTCAAGTAGTAACTTCTTTTTCTGATAAAAATTTACTAGAAAACTTCTACTATATTGATTGTAAGAGTCAGATTCAGAAAAAAAATGTTTTAGGATCTACTAGCGGTGATAATGGAAGCCGGAGGTTGTACAGAACCATCTGAAGAAAACATGGGCCCTGATGCATTCTATGTAGAAGAAGCGCAAGCTACTTTAGCTCACATCCAAGAATTAGGTTTGGGAGAACTGGCTGAAAGACTGTTATCCTTAGATCCCAACCCCCAGATAGCTCAACCGTTACCACAAAACAATAGAAGAAAAAGCGATTTCATGAACTTAGGCTTTTCTAAGAGTGGACTGGCATCCGGAAAGGTGAATATTATTGCACATGAGTTGGCCAGAAAATGTAAAATTGCTTGTAATAAGATGTGGCTTAACTTTTAAAACAAGACTTAACAAACTTTTATAAATCTGTGATATTTGAGGCCAAAAATACTCAACTTTTATTCAGGTTAAACAAATATTCTTAATAGTTTCTTAGTTTAGTAGATTTAGTGGTGTAAGTGGAAATAAAGTACTGTTTTTCTAAAAACTTCTTACTTCTACTACTATCCTTTACTTTCCTATGCCTTATAACATATTAACATATTTACAATATTTTCTTTTATTATTAACATAAATTTCAAATAAAAGATGTATTTAGTATGTGATATAATGGTTTATTTGCCCTGTTAAGGATGAGTGGCGATACCTGGTGAGTTGTCTACGAACTACATTAAAGCTTAAAGAACGCAACATTTAAAATTTATAAAATTTAGTTAAAAATATGACATTTTATACAAAAAGGTGCGCTCTTTTCAATAATGGTATTAAAATATGGTATTTCCATTAAAAACAATGATAATGATGTCATAACTCGAACAGTGATGACGTCGTCAAAGATATGAGTTCAGCTGAAATGCGCAACTGAAAAATAAAACTGACGGTCTGAGCTTTTTTTACCCAATGGCTATATCAAATGTTTAACAAATGTATTCCAACCTTTAGATGCTTACTGTATAACTGTTTGTATGTGAAAATAAAATTGTTTTTATTATTCTCTTTACAATTTCATCATATTTTCTCACCTTTTAAAAGTTTCTAGGACTCCTACAAATATTCATCATCATCATCAGTGGCATTACAGCTCGTTATGAGCTAAAGCCTTCTTCAGAACAATCTTACATTCGCCCTTGTCTCTGACAACCCTTCTCCATGCTTTTGTGCTTCTCCATGTTCTCGCACGTTTGTTTAACGCAAGGTTACGATATTTTGAGTCACACTAAATAGGATTTTGGGGCCCATGCAAAAACATTATACCGAGTGATAAGAAGTAGGTATTCACTTCAAAAATATTTCGAAATACACAATTGCTTTTTTTTACAAAAACAACACAACAACAAAGTCTTTTATTCATTTATACAGCTTTAAAATGACATTAACTTATCAAAACTTAATATAATCAGATATGCACTGTATTGACCAGGTTTAAGGATAAACTCTGCTTACAGCACTCACGTATATTGTTACGTGGTTCTATGAGTTCGGAAATTAAGTGAATCACGACGTAGTTTTACTAACTTTATTTAACTCAAAACCTCACCTAATTACAATTACTAATTACATAAATAATTATCGCTTAGAAGAATTCGCAGTGATGCGTAGAATCGTCAATACTAATACTCAGATCCCGCCTCTACTGGCTTATATAATGAGAACGAACTGTACTCGAAAACAGCTGGCTGGATCGATGATCGAATCCTCAGGAAAATCTGAAATTCTCGAAGATCGTCTTTTTGTCTGAGTTCAGGCAACGGAGAGGTTTATAAACTTCTCTAACGCACAGGACCGCACTCAGGGGTATGTGACTCACAACAATAAAATCCAGTATAATACATTGCACACCAATTGTGTATCGATAGGTAAAACATACCATCAGTTGTGTTCTCACTTTATCGAAAGAAACGTTAATTTGGATTCCAAGTGTGTTTTTGTCCGAAACATTTCAAGATAGATACTACTTGTACCCTTTTGTTGTAAAAATGTTCTACAAAAAAAAATTTAAAATGTACCTGTGTCACAAAAATTATTGATCTTTGAATTGCATATACGAATGTCACACGTGCCACAATGGATTGGCGTTATATACTCTTATATTATTGTATAATCTTATATTATTATATATTCCTTACCGAAACTTATAAATAACAATTTAATATAAAGCATTTTTCACGAAAAAAAGTACGACAAACTGCTGAAAAACACCCGTGCAATGGTTTAATAATGAATTACGGTCTTCCAGATCTAATCTTTCTCTTATTATACACATTGCAGATGCCACTATGGATCCCGATTTGTTCAAAGTATATATACAACAAAAATTTGAATATAATCGGCAATTACAAATTGCTAAAAAGTCAGCTTAATTTTATTACTAATTCCAATAATAAACCTATAATTCCTAATTTGAGTCAAATAATTACTTTAGCAACTCGCAATATGGATTCAGACGTGCTCGTTCTACTACGAACGCGGTATTTAATGTTGTGAGCGAGCAATTTCTCTTTGCGACTTGTAGAAGGCTTTTTGCTACACAAATTAACTTACTATGGAATCAGAGGTATCGCAAGGTTCGGTCCTAAGACCTCTTTTGTTTATTATGTATGTCAACGATTTGCCTAAATTCATATCTCCGTACAAAACCAAACAAATCGCAGATGATACGACACGTTATATCAGGAAAAATAATGTTGATTTAAAAATGTCTTATGAGGAAGTTTCTACTAAATCTAGCTCATGGTTTGCTGCAAACTCACTAAAACTTAACTATAATAAAACGCAAAATTTGGTTATATCTATAGTATATTTGAAGAATAAGCTGGAGTAAATTCTCAGAATACTAATCTTCGTAACGTAATCTTAAAAGAAATGTTTGCGTTAATTTTATTTGGATATTTAGAACAAAGTAATTAATCCAATCCAATACCGGTTTAAAATAAAAAGATACACATAAAAAAAATAAAAATTCTATTATTTGTGAAACATACAGATAATATAAAATAATAAAATACAATAAATTATACTGAAACGTAAAATACATACACAAATACTGTAAGTTTTTATATATTCCTATTAATAAATATTACTAATAATATATTAGGAAATAAGAATGAAAATTATATTAGCAATAAAAAATAAACAATGAAGTTGTCGGCAATTAGTTCAAATGTAAAATAAACTTCTGAGCTACAGTTTAAAGTTAAGCTTCCTCATGTTCTGTTTCAGTGTTATCCGATCCGGGATGAATTATTATAGATCAAGCTCCCACATATTTTTCTCAATATCCATAACGTGATTAATACATTTTGCCAATGTTCAGTCGTTACTTCGGATATTGATTTATGAAAAAGAATAGTAACATCTGACAATTTAAAAGTTGTATTATTTCGAGCAGCGTTACTAATTTCGGCCCATACTAATTCAATCGAATTTAGCTCGCAATGATACGGTGGTAGGCGAAGTATTTCAATTCCTTGTTTTTTGGCTATTTCCTCAATGACATATTTTTTATAATTTTGATTATTAATTTTAGCAAGCTCTAATAATTCTGCTTTTGTCATTGTATCGTCATAGATTAAATTCTTAGAAGTTAACCACATTGCAATTTCATCTTTCCTCCATTGAGTAGTTGGTAAACGTTCAAGTAATCTAGAGTGGTAACTTACATTGTTCATCACAATAACTGAATTTTTAGGTATGAATTCAATCATCTGTTCGAAATATTCTTCAAACATGTCTCCGTTCATCTCTTCGTGATAATCACAGGTCTTTTTTGGTTCAAACAAAAGTAAACCCTCCTTGAAATCCATTCATACTACCTATATAGGTAACAATTAATCGTCGACCTTTACCTGTTGGTTCCTTGAAATCAGGTGAATATCCTTCCAGAAATTGTTGTCGACATGTTTTTATAGTTTTGTCTTTCCAAACTCTCCCTACAGTATGCCCTTCATTAACCCATGTTTCATCTAAATAATAAATGTTCTTATTTTCTACCCTCATTTTTTTTTATTTTTCTGAGGTAGTCTCGTCTCCAACACACAATTTCTTGGGAATCGATAAGCATTGACTGTCTGCCCACTTTTTCATACTTAAAGTTTATCTTATGCAAAACTTTCCAGAGTTTGTCTCTACTTATTGTGGGTAAATCGGGATCGTCGGTAATGGCTTGTAAAACTTTATCTAAAGTTGGTATTTGTTTGTTAAAAAAAAACGAGTGGATCATTCTACGAATTTCATTTTTGAAAAATTCATCCATATTCACTTTCGACAATTTTGATCTTCCTGGTTTCGGTTTGGGTGGCGTTATATCAGCTGATTTTTCCTCTTTTAAAATGTTATATACAGTTGATTTTGAATATCTCATTACTTTAGACGAAATTTCAACTATACTATCAACAGTATTGGAAGGATTGTGTTGCTTAAAATAATTGTAGACGTTAAGGATCACACTCTTTTCGTTAAGCGATAAATGATTCAACTTTAATTTTTTAACTGGTTTATAATCACACGTTAATTCTATATTCTATAAACTCACTATTCACTCTTGCAAAAAACAACTGTGTCAGATCTCTTCACTTGCTTATAATCGACTAAACAAAAATTTTCTGATATTAGTGAATGACTATTTAAAGACCATTAACCATTTTATTAATCATTGGTTTTCCAAACAAAATCTAAATTTATACTATTTAAGATAGCGTTCACATTTATCAGAAACCATCTTTCGCTAATCGACTTTTTGTATCTAAACTATCAAAAGACCATTAACTAAATACCTATGTATTTTAAGAGTTTCTTTATTTCTTGTTATTTAATGGGTCATTATCACAACGACAAAAATAACCATAAATAACGTTACTAAAATAAACAGATTTATATAAATATAATATGCTTTGAAAATGGTTTAAATATCTAACAAACCGAAACAATTAATATAATACCCTTAAAGTACGTCTATGACCAGCTGAAAAACCCTAGCCTACACAGTTCTAACAATAGCAGGTATTTAAATTTTACGATAGTCCATGTGACATGGAAAAATTTCTATCTAAATAGTCAAACTCAACGTAAAATAAGCTAAAATATTGACGTTGTACGAAAAGCACACGTACTAAAATATGCTTAACAATTTAGTTTATTTTTCTGAGAATTTACTCCAGATTATTCTTCAAATATACTATACAAGTAATTTACACAATGATCCAGACAACAAAGAGACTGTTAAACTATTGGGAATAACCATAGATAATCGATTCAAGTGGTCGGCTCATATCTCCAAACTTAAAGAAAAAGCTATCAAGTTATTTGCTCAATTTATTGCTTTATCAATTTGTTATTCGTCAACTAGTAAGGGTTGTCAACTTTGAAACATGAAAAATGACATATTTTTCTTTATTCCACTCTCACCTAAACTATGGTTAATCATATGGGGTAATTCAACAAATGCACTTGAAATTTTTAGAATGCAAAAAAGCTATCAGGATTTTAACAGGGGTTAGTTATCTAGAACACTGCTGACCTTTCTTTATCAAATTCAAAATTATGCCGGTACTTACTATGTTGATATTTCAAGTTCTAACTGAAATTCACAGAAAACGTGGCCATTTAATAAAGTAGTCTGATGTCCATATTCACAATACGCGAAACCGTCACTACCTACGAACGAAGTGCTGTAGATTAAGTCTTTCAGAAAAAAAATCGTCTTAGTTATAATTATTACAATATTTTACCAAAAACTATTAAACAGCTCAGCTGTAATAGTTTCGATAAAGTTATAAAAAATATCTTCTAAAACATTGTTTTTACTGCTTAGAAGAATATATGACTCATTTAGGAACATCCACTGAACTGCTTACCGTAACTTTACCATAAATCTTGTTCTGTTTAATATGTTCTTGTTTGTATATATTTAAGTTGCATTTTATATTCCTATTTTTTTTATACTATGTATTTTTTTTAACTTGCTACAAACAATATTTGTATCTGTTATATAGTTAAATAAATACTCTACTCTACATAATCTGATTTTTACCTTCCTTTTAAACCAATTATTAGGAATAATATTTTATTATATGTCAAAGGATTTATCTATACTGCCCAAAAAGAACGAAGTGACATCAATTCTGAAGAAAAGAAGCACCGATATTAACTTTGTGGTACCTTCTGGCTCTTCTAGTTCCTTGCAGGATGATTCCTTCGACGGACAATCGGAGGGTTCTGGAAGTCAAGGGGGCTACAGCGAAATAAGCGACGATTCCAGAAAGAATTTCAAAAAAGATACGAAGTTTGATTCTAATGAAGAAGAATCAGATACTGATGAATATGGGGTATGTTTATTTTATTTATGTCTATTGACTTTTCTTATCCTATATAGAATTTGTTGTATAGGTTTTTAATACTCGTATTAGTTCTATGTTGATATTAACAAATTAAATTTCGTTATAAACGAAACGTGCAATATCTCATTTTCAAATGTACTATAGTTCAGATTTTCGAATTTTCACTATATTTTATTTATCAAACCAAATTTTCGTAGGAAGGTAGTCAGGTCAGCGTTGCCAGTTTTGACGTGTCAGAAATTCGTCAGTACATTTTATCCGAGATGGAAGGCTTCCAACCTGTACAGCTCACTGCCGGAAGTGAAAAAATTTTATACCACTTCGTCCAGTTGAACATTTCTGAAGGGGTATTATTATGCCCGCCTGAAACTCAAAATCCATCACCAACATTCAGTTTTATACTGAATAATTTTAGAAATAGCTGCCTCAAGATCCATTTTCTGTTCCAAAACACAGTGAGATTCAAGGTAAGATTTGAGTCTGAATATTTCTAATTGTTTATACTTGTGTAAATTTGTATTTGTATCTATATTATATTTATAACGTAAATCATTATTAACATAACTTATCGCTTGACGACAACTTTTATGTAGTATATGATGATTTATTCACTATTTCTATTCTTCTTTTTTTTAGCTCTTTATATAGGGTTCTTCTACTGAAATGTTTTTCTTATACTATATGTATTACATTGCTTATTTTGTTAAAAACTTGCCGTTTACACGAGGGTTGTCGTTTAAATGTTGACAAAAAATGAACAAAAAACGAACAAATTGCAACAAAATATTCTTTTAAAATATTCATCTTTTTATCATCATAAGTGGCTCGACAATCCGTTATGGATTTTGGCCTGCTCCCAAATAAGTCGCCACTCATGTCGATTCCTGGCAACTTCCTTCCATCTTCTGACCTTTATTTTTTTTTTTTTTATTGGCATAGACTTTTAGTCATTCAGCCAGACTCAACATGGTAAAAAAAAAGTTGTCTGAGTTTATATTAATAAATATACAAAACAAAGAACAGGTAAACAGGGTCACTCTCTTCTCGCCTAGGGGCCCATCGAGGCATTTTTTTTAAGACATACAACACTAGGCCACGGTAAGAGGGGAATTTGACAATTGGGTAAGAAACAAAGGTTACTTTATTAACTAATGCATAATTATTTACATGGTTATTTTACTATCCTTTAAAAACATAACTAAGGGATCATACACTGGTCTCGAGTCTAGTGATAATAAGTACTGAAGGTTCCAAGGGGCTAATATATTGTATTTATGTAAGTTATTTATTAATCTTGCTGAAATTATAGTATTTCTGGGGCAACTGAAAAATATATGATCTAGGTTTCCTTCTTCTGTACAAAATTCACATCGATCATTATCTAAAACCTTGAGTTTAAATAAATGTTTGGGGTAACAAGCATGTCCAAATCTCAGTCTAATGATCGTGGTAACATATTTTCTAGGTACATTAAAAGACTTATACCAAGGTGTTTTAGGAATATCTGTTTGAAGAGAAGTGTATCTATTTGGGCTAACAATGGAATATTCTTTCCATATATTATCCCACCTTTGATATAATCTTATTTTTAAGAAAGCCAGAAAGTCGCAAGCCGTGATTTTATACGAAGTTTCTCTACCAGATAAAATACTTTTCTTTGCTAATTGGTCTACATGTTCATTATTTTCCAAACCTATATGTGCTTTAATCCAAACAAAGACCACATTTTTGCCCCTTGTTACTAACTTTTGTTTGATATCCTTAATTTTGTAAATATAAGTTCAACTGTACGTATTTGGCAATCCCGGTTTCCCAATAGAGGTCAAAACTGATAAAGAATCTGATAATATCACTATATGATCCGAGCTACTTTCTGTTGCATAAAGTAAGGCCTCATATATTGCAAGAGCTTCCGCTGTAAAAATAGAGGTCTGGGAGTTTAACTTAAATGTGTGTTCTATTCGTTCCAACGGGACAAAAAAAGCACATCCAGTGCCGTTTGATGATTTGGAAGCATCAGTATATATAACGACGGAGTTTTTGAATTCTGATAATATTGAGTGAATAATCTGTCTGTTTATGTGTATATTGTCACTATATTTTGGTACCATGATATCTGTATTTGCACAATATGTTGCATATGAAATGTTTTGAAGTGTATACGTAGCTTTATCTATCTCTTTTATAGCTTCCATATTATGTTGCAGAGCTTCGCAGACTAAAGGCGATTTCTTTTTTTCCCAGTATTTAGTAGACAAATCATAGCAATTCAAAGTCAAGATCTTTGTGTATAAGGATTGATTTTTTATATATGTCTTTACCAGAAATTTTTCGGACAGGAAGTTTCGTCTGATATTTAAAGGTGGTTCCAAGGCTTCCAAATACAAGGGTTGAATTGGTGTGGACTTCATAGCACCTAAACATATACGTAAAGCTGAATTGTGTATTACGTTAATTTTATTTAGCAATACATTACTGGCTGATCCATAAAATATGCTTCCGTAATCAAAAATGGAGCGGATATACGCTCTGTAGAATAATAAATTTACATCTACATCAGCACCCCACCACGTTTTATTAATCGATTTAAGGAAATTTATTCCCTTGTTGCATTTGTTTAACATATCCTCAATATGATCCTTCCAAGTCAAATGTTTGTCAAGTGTCGTCCCTAAATATTTGACCTTACTTTTTAGTGGATATTGATGCTCTCCTAATTTAATTATTTGATCGTTAGGTTTATAATGTCTAGTAAAAATGCAAACCTGAGATTTATTGCAAGATAATTCAAAATTGTTTTTATGGAGCCATTTTTGAAGTAGCTGATAGATACTATCCAAGTTTTTAATTGCTGTTTGATATTCTTTGTGTTCTGTGTAAATGCAGAAATCATCTGCATATTGTATGAGGTTGAAGGGTATGTTATTTATTTGAATATTGTACAAGTCCGCTACGTACATATTAAACAGGATAGGGCTCAATACAGAACCCTGAGGTAATCCTTTGTTTACGATTCTGGGACCTATGAGCATTTGTTCTTTTCTTAAATAAACTAATCTGTTTGAGTATAGATTAACAATACTAGCGGCAAATTGGGCTGGAATTTGAAATATTCTTGTCATTTTTTCTTTAAGTGCTATTAAACACACAGAGTCATAAGCACCTTCTATATCAAGAAATAATGCTGGTAAGTAATTGTTTCGGGAATAATTGTTTTGAATGTCTACAACTAGGGTAGCCAATGCATCCAAAGTACCAAAAACCTTTCCTAAATCCGTATTGTTCTTTGGGTAGAAGGTTCTGCTCTAGTAACCACCATTCTAACCTAGCCTTAATTATCCTCTCTAGAGTTTTTTGTACACAAGATAATAAAGATATGGGTCTGTAAGCTTCAACTAATTTTAGATTTTTCCCAGGTTTGGGTATAGGAATGACAATAATATGTTTGAAGGCTGAAATGTTAGAACCTTCTCTAATTATCTGATTAAAAATATTTAGAAGTATTTATTTGCTATTTTTGCATTATTTGGTAAATTCAATAGCATAACATATTTGATTTCATCATAACCAGGAGAAGTGTTAGGACGATCACTAAGGGCACAGTCCAATTCTAGCATTGTAAATGGTTTTAAGAGAAAATGACTATGATTCGGATTGAATAACATCAAATCTTCGTGATTGTTCACATATGGTGGTGCAATTTTGTTCAAAAACTCTTCTGTCCACGAATCTTCCAGTGGTAATGGAGCATTGACCATTTTCCTGTTCATCCTTTTCGCTTGATTCCAAATCGAGGTAGGCGATGTTTGTTTTTTTTAATTTTGAGCACCAATCAACCCAGCTTTGTTTGGCTTTCGATTTCAATAATTTCTTAGCGTGAGCACTAGCTTGTTTACATTTAATAAAATTTTCAACTGATGGATCTTGCTTGTATTTTATTAATGCATTTTTGACCTTTAGAATCTGTAGGTCTTCTTCATCATCATCATTAAATCCATCTTCATCTTCAAATCATCAATCCATCTCTTTCGTAGTTGTCCTCTGCTTCTTGTGCCCTCTGGTTCTGAAAATGTTAATCTCTTCGTGTATTCGTGATCTGACATCCTAGCAATGTGTCCAGCCCATCAAAGTCTCTGCACTTTATCGAATTTCACAATATCTGGATCTGGATCGGAACGCCCTAGCCTATTTTCATTTACGGCTCTAAAAATCTTTCTAAGAATTTTTTTCTCAAAAATACAAAGAAGTTTTTCATAATTTTGAGATAAGGTCCACGTTTCAGCCCCATATATCAAAACCGGTCTTCTCAAAAAATCTCCGTCAACCGTCAAAATTCCTCTTTTCGGTCTATACATTTTTGCATACTATCAAACCAATTCTGGAAACATTTATTCCACTTTGAAGCTAATATCCTAAAAATATAGTTTTGAAAGACCTCAACATCTGAGGTAATGAAAATCACTGTCCAAGCATCTTTTATTTGACATTAATTCAAATATTTAGTTGTTTGATGTGTTATATGGGAGCTGGCAGTATTTTAATGAAGAATGATGTGACATTTTCTGTTGTTTTTCCTTATTCTACACTGACGTGGCGTTTGAGTGGGGTCGTGGGATCCGAATCCTGATCTGAATTACGAACAGAAATGTAATGTTCATAAATCCTATTTTGGATTTTACGATTGGTTTGGCCTATGTAAGATCGGAAGCAGTCTGCACCAGGAGTTTCATAAACTCCGTGGTGTTCATTTGGAATGTTGTCTTTGACTGATTGTAAATATTGTCTTTATTCTTCTTGATCCGAGGAGAGCTTTATCAATTTTGCCAGTGATATCTTTGATGTAAGGAAAGAAAGGTTTCGGATGATGAGGGTCTGAGTCTTGGGGTTGAGATTTAGCGAGAAATTGATGCCTATGGATGCTCCTATTCATGTGATTTTCGCGGTAACCATTTTGGATAAGGGATTGTTTTAAAGAACCGCTCAGCGGATATTTTTGTATCATCGAAGAGGTGTATCGATCTCGAGACAAGGGTCTTCTTCTTCTTCAGCCTTCATTTATCCATTTCCATCCATTTAGGCCTCCTCCACTTGCTTCCACGCTTGCCTATCTTTTGCAATTCTCATTCACTGCTTTCCAGCTACAGCTGTTATATCGTCTATCCATCTCTTTTTGGGTCTTCCCACGCTTGTTTTTGTTTCTCGAGGTCTCCAGAATGCCACTTTATGAGACCATCTGTTGCTGTCTTGTCTTGCTACATGTGCTACCCATTGCCATCTCAATGTCGCTATTTTTTCTATGATGTCGGATACTTTAGTTCTTCGACGTATTTTGGTGTTAGGTCTGTGAGGCTTATATTTAACGTGGCCCGTTAAGTTACTCTTAATTGTTCTGCCAGTTTTCTTGTTATTGACATAGTTTCCAGTCCATAAGTTGCAACTGGTAGTATACAAGTGTCATAGGTTTTTCGTTTTAAGGGATTTTTCTCTCTTTAAAATGAAGCTCAACTTACCAAAAGCAGCCCATGACAATTGTGTCTTTCTTTTAATTTCTAGGGTTTGATTAGGGATTAGTCTAGATTTGAGACAAGGGTATTAATGACTAAATTAATTTGTGAAGATGGGTGATGAGAGTTGGCATGCAAGTAGCGGTTGATATGGGTAGTTTTCGGCAAACAGAGTGATGAAAACATTAGGATTGGTTTTTTGCTTTATAAGAACGTCGAGTAACGGTAGGAGCGAATTAGTTTATGTCTCCAGCGTGCACTGGTTACTATAATGTATACCATTTAAATGTAAATATTTGAAAATATACTAAATCATACTTTCTATCCATAAAAAATTTCTTAAAAAAATATATTGGAAGTCTTGGTTTCACTAATTAGTGATTCCTTTGAAAAAGGTTTATTTCCGGAATGCCTAAAGACAGCCATTATTATTCTTCTTCTTAAGGATGGTGAAAAATCGAATGTCTGCATCTATAGACCTATTGCCTTACTACCGGTCCTATCCAAAATTATTAAGAAACTCATAAAGGTCCGCTTTATGTCTTTTCTCGTTTTACCACATTTTATCACAAAATCAGTTCGGCTTTTTATCTAATAAATGTAGCAGTGGTGACTATCCCAAAGCTTTTGATTGTGTAAATCTCCACATTTTGATAAAAAAACTAAATTTTTACGGAATTCGACCTATTTCTTTGAATTGGTTCCAATCTTACTTGAGGAATAGGAAACAACTAGTTATAGCAAATGATATTGACTCTAGTCACAAAAGCATTGTATGTGGAGTACCACAAGGTTCAGTATTGGATCCTCTACTTATTCCTTATCTTTATAAATGGCATTACTAACTTGAAAATCGATGGAAATTTTTTTCTTTTTGCTGATGATACCAGTATCACTTGGAGGAACTCTAATATTGCAACTCTTCATGTAACTATAACTTCTAATTTATTTAAAATAAAAACCTGGTTCGACTCTAATTTACTTTTTTTTAACGTGGATAGGATCTCAGATAATGTCCCTTAACTGATAAATCTGTTCGGTTTTGTCTTTTATTCTAAAGTGTTATTTTTTTTGTAGAATATACCAGCTCAAGATGTTGCAAAATCTGTTATTAACAAAAGCCTGATTTCTATAAAAGAACATGGTATATTATTCGAATGTCCTTTCCTGGACGAACAAGATAGCAAGAAAAATAAAATTAGATATTGGGTTGTCGGGTAAGCTATTGTTTTATCATTTCAAACTATAATATGAACGGCTGAGATAAAAAATCTTAGATTTAATTTTTATAGCACAAAGAATATTCAAGAATAAAAGGAATAGATCACTAATTTAAAAAAATAAACGTTGAAAACCAAACAGTTACTTCTGAATTGTGGCACAGAATTCACTAATAGCATTAACTTTCGTTTTGACTTTCGTTTTATGTGTTATCTTTCTATTGTTTTACCACAGAATACATAACAATCAGAATGCCCGCGATCGCCATATTTTAAACATAGACTCGAATTGAAAAAATTGTGACAAGCTATAACAGAACTGTAACTTAAATTTTTATAGATTAATAACTTAGTACATTTGAAATAATTTAATCTATTTTTCAACTAAAAGTGCGAATGAAATAGTGCATATTATGTCTATAGTTGCCGTAAATAAATTAAACCGGGTTAATTTTTCTATGCACACCAGATAAAATGTCACTGAACATCACTGGTTCCGTTTAAAACATGGCTGATTTTATGAAGAAACACTTTTTCATATTTTATGAAGAAATATCTCTTTATGAGATCAATTTTACTGTCATTTAAATTCTTCCCTTATTATACATGTCAGCATGTAGAGTCCATGACAGAGTTCAAACACTAGTAAATATTATATTTCGTTGAATCTTTTCTTTTATTTTTAATAATTTTTACAATATAAAATATCGATAAGTTTAAAATACTGTAAAAATGTTCGTATTAAAAATTTTATTTTAAAATTTTTTAGACTAATTTTTGTTTTGTTTATAGGAGACTCTTTTACATGCCACAGCCTAAGGAGCTCTATGTATGTTACAGAGACGGCATCCCCCAAAATATGGTTGAAATAGCTTTTAAGTTAAATATGCGGACTGTAACTTGATTGTGAGTCTAATCAAATAATTGCTAAAAGTATTATTTATCACAAAATTAGGGTAGATATCTAAAAGACTTATATACTGTAAACCCTGCTATAATATATATTTTTTTAAATTTGTATTAATTTATGTATTAATTTACAATTAAGCGATTTTAGAAAATAAATATTTATATTACATATATTTATATATGTTAAGTTACGATAAAGGAAGGCACAGTTAAATACCTAGAATTCATAGTTTCAGAGAACGGAACGACAGAAGAAATAAAAAGTTGACTGAGCCAAAACAAAAATGTGTATCAAACAGTTAAATCTGGTGCTATATGGGATAGCCACATCACAAAGAACACGAAAACAAAAATTTTCCACTAATAGTATATAGCAATATCAAATATGGTCATCCAAAGAGAATATTGGAAGATGAGTTACAAAAATAGATAAAATCAGAAACGAGGAAATTAAAAGGAGAATGGGAGTAACTATACTCGGTTCGCTATTCCCAGTCCGAACTGTCTAGTGAATTTAGTAATTATTTTTTTGCGAAGCTAGTTACTTTTGACAGACTAAAAGTGGCTGGAAATTACTATACAACCAAGCACACGTACTCATAGCCAATATTATTTTTTTCTTTTTTTTAACATCCAATGTTTATTGCAATCTGTCTCATTACAAACAATAAGCAATATGTATAATTTATGTACAATAACATAGTGGGACGCCGCCCAGTGGCAAGCACCCAGGTAAGACATAATATAAATATAATATATGATATAACAATTAATTTAAACTTCAACTTCAAAGTTTAATACAGATAAACATCACTGACACACATATAAGTATTACAAGACTAAAAATGGAAAAAAAGAAAAAAAATCAAGAAAAGATTTAGAAAACACCAGAATAAAAACTTGATATTTCACCGCACTATGACACTATACTCTGTTTCTCCATGTTTACTAGAGGTTCAAAGGGTCTGGTCGTTTTAATCTTCTTTCGTGTGAAATGTTGAGCAAATCCATGGCCATCGGATTTGGATGGCAGGATAGTCTGGTTTTGTATACAGCGTTTACGGCAGATATTGCTTCGCTAACTGTTGGTAACTGTAAATCGTGGTGTAATCTGTAGTTCGTAATGTACCAAGGGGCATTGCAGATCTGGCGCAATATTAATAGTAAAAAAACTAAATAGTAAATAAAATAGAACTTTGCGAATTACCGACAATCAATATTTATCTGCACCATAGAACAAATAGTTACGTTAAATTATAACAACTAAAATTTATTTTTTAAATATGTACTACCCAAAATTTAATGGGTTTAGTATACACTTCCACTATTTAGAATAATTCTTCTTTTTTTCATAGAAAGAAGTCTGCAATAGTAGTATACTTGAGCTATTAATGCTGAGAAGCAGGAATTGTTGTGTTGTTGTAGGTTTCCGACAATGAATCTGTCGAAATATGCCCGAGCCCGAGCTGAGCGAATGGAATATAAGAATGTAATGGAATATATAGAAGAAAATATACTAAATTGGTATGGGCATGTCAGAAGAATAGATAGAAATAGGTGGATATCGAAAGTAACATTGGAGATGGTAACATTGATTACAGACCGATGAGCCATGACCTTCCCAACAGACTGCGTTTGTTTATACTTCTTCGGCCTCGGCGAAGTTGAGCCTATTTACGTGATCGCGCTTTATTTCGGGGGTAAAGTGAAACATCCATGTTTCGTCACCTGTAACAATTTTTCTGTTAATATCTTAGTGGTGTGCGAAGTGTCATGAATACATAAAGCAAGATCGTTAATGGTGGACTTCTGCTATTCCCCAGACTTCGATTTACCGACGATGAATTTTAATAGGTTAAATCCGTTTTTCATTTTAAAAACGTATCACAGCACGAATTTCGCATCTGGCGGAAACAGCGATCCCTATCCATCGCCTTCCTTCCACCCGATTTATCGCCAAACATGTATACGTGTTTGGCTACGCTCTCCCACGTCATTTTTGTCTAGACACTCAAAAGCTTTTGTGTAATCTATGAAGTAAATGTATCAATGCAAAAACCACCGATATCTGCAATTTTGTAGGAAAACTGACAGACTTAATGACGCTTCTCTGTTCACAAGTCTTGTTTTATTTTGTGTCATATGGGAAAAATGTTCCTCACTTCTTATGCCTATCTATTCTCGAATATTTCCATACATGATTTTACTCATAAGCATCAGCTGTACGAGTAGTAAGTGGCAAGTGGCATTTTTCTTCTTTCGATACGTGTCCCAGACACGCTATTTACTCTTTTTACTTTCTTTCTCATTTACTGGCTGATGTTTAGTTTACATTTTTTTAAGCAAGATTTCCACTGAAGACTGTGCTATTCACAGCAATTATGGAGGTGTCGTTGGCTAATTTTGCCATTGTGATGGTATTTGTGGTTTGAGAAAAAAATGGGAATAGTAGGAAAATTGCTACGATGTCGTACTTCAGATTTAATTGGGAATAATACAGAAGTTTATGTGGTTAATTGTACCTACTTTGAAATAACGGTCTTCAAAATAAAATAGTGAGTTGGGATAATGTGTTTCTGTACTAGATCAGCATGCTCTATGAAATGCTTTTATATTAAAAATATTTCTATCTATCTACCATGCTCAAAAATAAATGCAAGATTTTCGAAGCAGGTTCGTCTTTTTTCTGTAAATCGAAAAAACTATGTGCCGCAACTAATAAAGAACTCGATACTTCAATGGTCAAGCGGTTTACCGTAAACACTGCTGTGAATGTTCCAATAAGTGGAATTTTAAAGCATCGAGTGGGTGGATGAGCCGTTTTAAGGCTAGGCACGAAATTGCGTGTGGAAAAATTTGCGGTGAAGCGAAGAGTGTTTCCGAAGAAGTCACTGACAACTGGTTGAAGTTGGTACAGTGACGATAATGTTTTCAATACCGACGAGTTCTTCTCTTTAAACTTACTCCAGACAAGACCCTCAAATTCAAAAATGAATGTTGTATAGGTACCAAGCTATCAAAAGAAAGGGTAACTGTACTCGCGTGTGCCAACATGTCCGGTTCCGAAAAAAGGAAGTTGGTTGTCATTGGGATATCTCAAAAATCACGATGTTTCAGAGGTGTGAATCAGCTTCCTGTCACAAATAAATTTAATAAAAAATCGTGGATAACAGCAGAGATTTTTAGTAGAGAACTTTTGATGAGGGACATTGAAAGATTCCTTTAATTGTTGACGATTGTACAGCCAATTCGAAAGTTAACAGTTTAAAAAACATTCAACTTCTTTTTTGTACCATAAAATTGCATATCTGTTCTGCAACCGATGGTGAATCCCCTGTTACTTTATTAAATGCCATAAAATTCATCCACAAAGCATGGACACTCATATATAAAAAAAAACCGTCAGAAAATGTTTCGGTCATGCAGGGTGGACAGAGACTGAGAAAACGAAGAAGATGAATATCCTGTAGCAGAGTGGTTGAGCTGTAACAGCAAGATCACGAATTAACTCAACTGAACAATGATGACGAGTTTGCTGAATTCATTGCCATTGATGATGACGTCATTGTTACAACAAGCCTACAACTGTTTCACATCTTTAGAAAATGATGCTTGATAATTTAAAGAAGTTAAAAATGACAGTCTTCTTCCAAGACTTTATGTTATCTTTGAAAATACGCTTTATACATTATGTAGTTGAAAAAAAAATGTAAGTACAGATTTTTGTTTTAATGTATATCATTGACAATAAAAGTAAACAACTCTTTTTTGTTTTAATGTATTTCATTGAGAATAAAATTAAGCAACTTTTTTTCAGAAATGCCTTTCACACAATATTTAGCATCTTATATTGCTCTGAATTGCTTCACTATAGGAAGTTAATGTTTATATGTATGCCCAGTATTATTGTTGTCTGATATAACAAGGTAATTAGTCTGCCATTTCAGTTCTCGTTATAGAGGGAGTCTACTGTATTTGTATAATGGTTGGAAGTAAGAATAAAAATAAAGTTTCTCATTCAAGTTTAATTTTTACACTTGAAAATAAGCTGTAACTTTAAATATATAAAACATTAGTAATCAAGACAGCAAATGTGTGCTATAGGACTGTGTAAAATGCAAGGATTTCAAAATAGAGCAAAAATAACTACATTACATAGAAAACTTTGAAGAGATTCGCTTTATTCAATTATACTATAACACAAATTTACTGTTAAAATACAAAAATAGTTCTTGAAAAGTGATGCTGATAGATGTATCAGAACAATATCTTTCAACTGAAGTGGTATTTTTATACAATGCTTTAAAATAATACCAAAAGCTGTTGCCACTTCTGTTACTTCCAAACAATGAATTGTCTAGTATTGCTTTTAGAAGCAAAATTTGAATATGTATAAAGTTATATGCACAGAGTATAGAGTTTGAATATATGATACATTTTATTTGAAATAAATCTTTATGCAGTGAAGATATAAATATGAATTTAAGACATTTTTAACATGAAAATTTTTATTTTTTTTGTCAGATTACTCAGTACTAAGTAAATTTGACACACTAATCACACAAATTTGAAAAAATTTGTGTATAGTTATTGAAATATTGTCAAGAAATATTTGTTTTTGCTTAAAATATCTTGATACAGAAAAATACTATACACATACATTTTATACTCATTTTGTTTAGATGAAATCTCAATTTATACAATTTTATATTGGAAAGTAACAGAACATGCCCTCTAATTCAATTAAAGATAACAATAGTTTGCATTTAAAACTTGTTAATATATCTTACAAACATTGTAAAGGCCTAATAAAGAGTTAATATGTCTTCAAGAAAGTCCAGAAAATAAATATACAATAAAAAGTGTAATAACTTTATTGTTAAGAAACCAAAACATTCCCTCTAGCTTCCGTTGTTGAAGCTACGGGTTGTTCATCTTGTTTTGTAGGTTCTAAGCCTCTAAATTTAATATTGTGTTTTTCCCTATATTCATTAATTTCTTGACCTTTTTTAGTAATTTGTTCTTGAAGCTTTTCAATAAATTCTTTAAGTTTCTCCTGGTTCGTTACCAATACCGGTAGTACATCTTTTACTTTTCTTTCTGTTAGTATGCCACCTATCAGTCTAAAACATTTTCTGTCTTCATTTACATTCTTCAATGTTTCGATTACCATTCTAAAAACAAAACAATTGATAATTCGCTAATTACAAATAATTTTGGACGAGTTTACTTAAAGAAAATCAAAAGTGTCTTGTCTTAAAAATAGTCCCTAAAAGTTAGGTTAAAGCGAATTTATTGGAAGCTAATATCAAATAAAATACGGCAAAAACACGCTATTAAAGCATTTTCTCAATTATTTGTCTTAATTTACAAACATCGGTTCAAATTTCTATCTATTTAATCACATTTATCGCTTGTAAAGTACATGAGGTACTCACTTGTGTTCATTCAAGTCTAACTCAAATTCTGAAAGTTTTCCTGATAAAGCTCTCTGTTCGGCTCTCAAATTTTGAAAACCGGTTAGGATTTCCTCAGGAGTGGGTCCTTTATCTGATTTCTTTTTGGAATTACTGGCCATTTTCTAATATTTTAAGTTTTGGACAAATTTGGTATTTTTCTATTATAGCCTCTTCCTAAATAGAAACTATCAACTGTCAAAAAAACTGAACATGCGATATGATCTCCGACTATATATGTTTACAACTACGTAAGAAAAAAAATAAAAAAGTAAGCAAGATAATAATAATAATAAAGAAGATTGAAAACTGTCATAACCTCATCTTTCAGGCAGGAAATGTTTTTAAAAACCTCGTGAGAATTAAATTGTTTATTATAATTTTTATACTAAAAGGACAATAATAATTAAGATATCTAAAATGAAGTTTCATTATAAGGTATTGTGAATAAAACAAAATTTAAAGCTGTCTATTAACAACATAATCTTTTTTTAGTTCCAAAACCTGTTGGGCACAGTCTACAGAAAAGGCGATTTGTTATTCAGTCCTGATGGTAACTCGGTAATTAGTCCAGTGGGAAATAGAATAACCATATTCGACTTAAAAAAGTAACGTCTTATTGAAATAAGACATATTGTCTTCTAATACATACATTTTTTTTAGTAACAAATCGACAACTTTACCAATTGAGAGTAGGTACAACTATACAGCTTTAGATATAAGTCCGAATGGATACACATTGGTGGCCATAAACGAAGAGGGAGATGCACATATGATAAGTCTAATTTCACAAACAGTTATTCACAAATATAGATTTAAGAGGAAAGTCAGAGCTGTTAAGTTTAGTCCAGATGGGAAACATTTTGCTGTCTGTAAAGATAACAATGGTTAGTCCATTATAGCTTAAATGTACAATTTTAAATCTTGATTATGGTTAAATTTGCATTCCTAATCTATTATATTTTTTAGTTTTTGTTTTTAAAGCTCCAGGGCCTTCTTCTGGGGATTACAATGCTTTTTACATGGAGAGAGTGTTTCATGGAGCATATGATGAAACAACTTGCCTTGATTGGACTTTTGATTCAAGAATTTTAGCTGTAGGTTCCAAGGATATGAGTACTAAACTCTACCCACTAGATAAGTAAGACAAAACTGGCAGAGCTCTTTATATTTTGCTAAATATGGTTATCATTTTCTTTAATTCAATGAAATAATAATACAGTGACTGGCTAAATTTTATCTTAATATATGGCTTAATTATATGGCTATAATTAAATAATATTATCATTATTTCTAGAACCATCAAGTTTTGAGGGAAATCCCGAAAGAGGTCGATTTTTGTTATAAAATATCCATCTTATAACATATATGGAGTAGGGGGTGTGGGTGTAGTGATGTGACCTTTAATTTTTTTGAATAGTAATTGGTGTAATGCAACACCTCATTTGAAGAAGAATTTAATTCTCTATTTAACTACATTACATTTTTAACTAAAATATTTTTTTGAGGGTACAAAAACAATTTTTTTTTTAATTTAAATTCAACTAAATTATAACTAATGATTTAATTCATAATGTAATTCAAGCAAATGATAGTATAGTTATTGTAATATTTATTGAAATAAGTAAATGTTTTGATTTTGTGAATTGTCATCAGTTGTCAATTGTAATTTTTACTTTTGAATACTAAATTATGGCTCACCTAAATGAAACACAACACATAAAAATATTAATTCTTAGCGGATGCCGAGATAAAAAAAGAACACAGAACAACATATACAATTTGTTCAACGCAAAATATCCAGACAGACCCATCAGCCAATCAACAGTAAGTAAAATTGTCCGAAAATTTGGATAAACTGGGCACATTAAACATATTTCATCAATCAAATCCTTTTTTTCTGATGAAGCCACATTTTTTATACATGGTACGTGAATTGTTAAAATTGCAGATATTGGAGTCAAGAAAACCCACATTGGATGACTGAGTCACATACGCAGTATCCTCAGAATAAATGTATGGGCAGGGATCATTAATGATAGAATCATTGACCCTTTTTTCTTTGAAGAAAATTTAACAGGAGAATGTTATTTAACTTTTTTGAGAAATCAACTCATACCTGTCTTTGCTAACATATATCCAAATGCCAATAATCCAAATTTACCTAATGAAAATATCTGGTTTTACCCTTGTGAAGTACGTCAATTTTTAAATCATTGCTTTCCCATGAGGTGGATCAGAAGACGAGGTTTTATAGAGTGGCCAGCAAGGTCGCCAGATCTAACACCTCTAGACTTTTTCCTGTTGGGTTACATAAAATCAAAAGTTTTTGTCAATAGACCAAAAAACTTACAGGACTTGAAAGATAGAATTAGGCATGAAATGAGTCTAATTACTCCAGAAGTCATCCGTAATGTAGTTGATGAATGTGTCGGTAGATTCGCATATTGTCAAGAAACCCATGGATGGCATTTCGAACATTTAATTTAAAATAGTTGTTATGCATAATTTGGTTACTTTAAAGATGCATAATTTGGTTACTTTAAAGTACATTCAATTATTAATTTAATTGATAATAATTAAATAAAAAAAAATTGTTTTTGTACCCTTAAAAAATATTTTAGTTAAAAATGTAATGTTGTTAAATAGAGAATTAAATTCTCCTCCAAATGAGGTGTCACATTATACTGATTTCTATTTAAAAAAATTAACGATTACGTCGCTATACCCACACCGGTGACGTCCTCCCTACTCCATGTATGTTATAAGATGGGTATTTTATAACAAAAATCGACATGTTTCAGGATTTCCCTCAGAACTCGATGGTTCTCGAAATAATAATATTCCATAATTTAGCTGTTCACTGTATACTTAGAGTAAACAACAAACATGTTATAGTTTATATTAGATCAGATTGTTCAGGCATAGCTTCTTGTTTGTTAAGCCTGACTTCATGCTACTTTAGTATATGAAAGGTTTTCTTTCCTTTTTAAGTATTCATTGAATAAACAGTAAGGTTTATTCTACTGCAGTCGTACTATGTAGATATTGGTAACAATTGAATAATATTTTTAATCATTTTGAGTAGGCTATTACAAATTCTGCCTTTTTACATCTTAGGCATCTTGTCTACTTAAAAACTTGTGTTCTTCTTCTTATAGAGCCGTGCACCTACAGTGCGTTGGCGAATTATCTTAAGGCCAGACGTCTGTCTTTTGCGACATGCGGCCAGTGTTATTTATGCCTGTCCAGTTTTTTATGTTCCGTAGCCATGACATTTGTTTGTGAGCTACTCCTCTCTTACTTTCAATCTTTCCCTGGATGATTAGTTGAGGGATTGCATATTTTTTTCCTCTCAGAATATGGCAGAGGCATCCAATTTTTCGTACCTTGATCAAATTAGTAGTTCTCTCACAGTATTTGCCTTTCTTAAGACTTCCTCGTTTCTCACCCTATCTGTCCATGGTATGCGGAACATTCTTCCCAACGTCCACATTTCGAAGGCCTCCAACTTATTAATGGAAGGTACTTTTAACGTCCATGTTTCCATGCCGTATAACAATATGGACCATACATAGCATTTAAGCATCCTATAGCGGAGATTGAAGGAAAGATTGCGGTTACATAGTAGCGGTTTAAATTTGATAAAATGTTGTGTACAGCCACCAAATTAATGTAGAATTTATTATCTGCATATCATTATCTATTTCTATTTGATGGGGTTACTAACAAAAGCAGGTAGCAGATATAAATAAATAGTCCTTTGTTTAGGGCTATTTGTTTTATGGTAGATACCTCTCGAAACTTAACGACATCACTCAAATACAAATGACTGTAATAAGCATAAGATAAAGTTTTCTGCAATAATTTGTTGGCAACTATATGTGATAAACATTATCTTTCTCATACTTCCTTTAGCCACCATACAGGGGATTCTGATGCTGTTTTTTTAATTTCACAAAAACCAAACAGTCCTGTTATTAAATTGTCGTCTCATGTGCAACTTGATATATCAAAGAATCAAAAATATGTCTTTTTTTATGATCTCATATCAGATTGTAATTAAAATTTGCTCATTGAAATTCTAATGATTTAAATAATGGACTTTTCAATGTGTTTTATTTTTAGGTGGGCCAATTTTAGGATATGTTCCCTTGGAAATCACACAGAAGGAATAGTTGGTTGCTTTTTTGAAGAAAATAGTTATGACATTACCACAATAAGTAGGAATGGCCAAACATGCGTTTGGGAATGTAGTATAGATCCAAATGATCTAGTTCCACGAGAAGAAGTTCAAACAAAAAAGAAAGTATGTATATATTCACAATATCCTCAAGTATCTGTTGTTTTGGAAGTATTTCATATTTGTCCATAATTAAATTTAAAATTATAAGTTCATAAAGTTCATATCTGTTGGTTGCATGCATTATTTCTTCGTTTTAGTGTTATTGACATTTAGTGACGTCTTGAGACAGATAAAATGATATCATGCATGTATCTTTTTTCTACTGTGACCTCTATCTTTCCATGTATATTTAGTCTGTCAAGTTCATTTCTCCTACTTAATTCTTCAGCCATTGCATTTCATATAAGTCAGTCTATTATACATACTTTGATTTTCTATCCCAAATTGTTTCAGTCAGTTTCCATTTCACAAGCCATCATCCATTTTGTAAAGAAAATACTTGTTATGCTTACTCTGGCAACAATTCAGTTGGTTGGTTCTAATAGCAGGATAAAGTCATCCTTCTTTTGAGCAGGGAAGATGTATGTTCGTTCCCTTCATGTTAAATAAAATAACATCAATGTAGTGTCACTATAATATTAAAATTGCCCATGATTTTCATAAAATACAAATATTTCCACACCTAATTACGTAGCTAGTTTCAACTACTTTAAATGTTTTTCACCGATGATCGTCGGGTGTACTGAAAACGTTTTCAATGTTTGTAATCCTGAAATGTTTTATATTTAATTTATAATTATTTTTGTAGAAAATGTCTGATGATTCAGATGAAGATGATGTTGATGTAACAAAAAGTTTAGAGAGGACAGAAGAGGAAATAACAAAAGCAATACAAGACATTGATGTAAATCGAGAAGAGCCGAAAGAAAAAGAGGTGAACAAACTCTTCTACAAACGATTGGCCAGACATTATCTAGCTGATGAAGTTAGGAAAGAAAACAGAGATGCTATTCTGACCTCTGCTGCATATCATAAGAAAACTAAAATTTTTGTTACAGGTAACTGATTTTATCTTATTTTGTGATTATGACGATTTTTAACACTTTAAGATAGTTTTTCATTACAAAAAATCAATTTTGAAACCAGTAAATACATATCTTCCACCACATCGAGATAAATTATTGCTTTTCCTGTATTGTGGTACACCTACTAAACTTAATCTACTGGCATGTATACATGGTGCTCTATATATGTCTAATAAATTCGAGTTTTTTATTTATTTTTTGCCATCAACATCATCACCATTATTCAACTCATAAATTTGTTCACTGTTGGATGTAAGCCTCCTCCTTGAGTAAGCCTTGAATGGCTCTCTAGATTGGCTCGTAATATGCTTCGCAAATCGTCTTTTCATATTGTTAGAGGATGTCCCCTATTTCTAAACGTGTCATCTCTAGGTTTTCACTTGATAATTCTCTCAGTGCACCTATTTTCAACCATTCTTGCGATGTCTCCTTCCCAATTCTACTTAATGATAGTTATTATTACCTAATCTTCTTGTATTCACATTTTGCTTTCAAATTTCTTTAGACTTTGATCTCTTAGAGATGGGTCTAAAATTAGTAGTTATCTTACATACTGTGTGGTTTGTTTCTTATTGACTGCTTTCATTTATCGCGGTTACTGGTTCTGTACTATATGTTAAGACAGTTAAGATTATATGGGAAGCTACGATTTATGTGTATTTAGCAAGTTACCAAATGCAGCCCATGCCAGTCTTATTCTCAGGTAGAGTTCGCATTTGATTATTGTAGTATATTGATGATGTATTTGGCAGTCTACATTACTATATAATAAAAAGTACGTGTTTTTAGGCTATTCTACAGGCGCCTTCTTTATCCATGAAATGCCTGACGTTAATTTGATCCATTCTCTCAGTATATCAGAACAGAAGATCAGTGCAATTTCCTTGAATAATACAGGCGATTGGATAGCATTGGGATGCAGTGGCTTAGGACAACTACTAGTATGGGAATGGCAAAGTAAGTTACTCAATATTCGATTATTTGTAGCTAAATAATTATATTTTAGGTGAAACCTATGTAATGAAACAACAAGGTCACTCAAACAATATGTCTTGTGTGACTTACTCCACTGATGGCCAATTGTTAGCTACAGGTGGTGAAGATGGTAAAATTAAGTTGTGGAACATACATTCTGGATTTTGCTTTGTAACATTCAGTGAACATTCTAATGCTGTTACATCTGTGGCTTTTAGTGGAAATAAGAAATTTTTGGTCTCATCCTCTTTGGATAGTACAGTTAGAGCTTTTGATATTATCAGGTAATGTGCACTTTTTCCTAGATTAGAAACCCAAAGTTGGATTAATAGTCATAGATTTTTATTCTTTATAACATCCATTATAGAGAATGTGACAATAGAATTTTCTAGCAGAGCTTGCTTTGATTTCTATAAGTCTTCTAACATTCTCTTTTGTCTAACAAGGTCTTTTGGTAATAATTAATTTGGTATCATTTTGGTATTACAGATATCGAAACTTTAGAACATTCACTTCAACCAGACCAGTACAGTTTGCCTGTGTAGCAGTTGATAGTAGCGGAGAATTTGTAGCAGCAGGAGGACAAGACGTTTTTGAGATATATCTGTGGTCGATTAAAACTGGTAGATTATTGGAAATATTGGCAGGTCACGAAGGACCAGTTGTAAGTATTGATTTTTACAGTAATGTAAAGTCATTTCACAGCCCTGGAAGTTTGTTTATAAAAACGTATCTGAAGTTTCTGTTGATAAATTTTGAATCAAGTAAATGACACTTGCATGTTACATTACTTTTGTACATACTGTATATCGTTATTCCTTTTTAGTCGAGTTTAGTCTTCAGTCCGACCATCACCAGCACCGTTTTGGTGTCTGTCTCATGGGACAAAACTATGAAAATATGGGACGCCATCGAGAAAGGCTCGGCCCACGAAACCATCGAATTGACAGCAGATGGAATATGTACTGCTTTTAAGCCAGACGGCCAAGAAGTAGCTGTGGCTACATTAAATGGACAGATAACAGTTTTCAACGTGAAGACTTCCTTACAAGTTTCTTTAATTGAAGGACGTAATGATTTGGGCAGCGGAATAGCAGATACTGATTTAGTGACTGCAAAACAAACGTTGAAGGCCAAGTGAGTAAGCATTTTTAATTTGCTGTAAGTGTACTATGAATTAACTTACCGTAAAATTAAGTAATAAGGTAGATTTGTAGTAGCATTGACTTTAGATAAGTTTTTTGATATATTTTTTCTTAGGTTTAGGAAGTTCCTCCTTTTAGTCACTTGCAGGAAGGTATTAAATGATCTCTTCACACTAATACAAATGCTATTGTCCTATTGAATAAACTACAAGCATACATTATGCAAGCTTTATGTTTTGCATACTGGAGCTTAGATGGCGCTATTTCTCCAATGTTCACAATCCACAAATTCAATGCAATACATGTAGTCTGATCTTGATGTAAAATGAATAAAACATGTTAATTTTCGAATTTCACAGGTCTTTCACGAGTCTGTGCTGGTCTGCCGATGGAGAATCCTTGATAGCTGGCGGACAATCTAAGAATGTTTGTATCTATAATGTTACAGAAGGACTGATCGTCAAAAAATTCGAAATCACACAGAATAGGTCATTAGATGCAGTTGATGTAAGTACCTATATCGATTCAATAAAAAGTCACTATGTACTCACTCACGTAATTTCATTTGGAATTTCTCGTTTTTTAGGACTTCATAAATAGAAGAAAACTAACAGAATTTGGCAACATAGCCTTAGTAGAAGAAAGAGAAGAAAGGGAAGGAGGAAACGTCAGCATAAAACTCCCCGGTGTTCGTAAAGGTGACATGGCTGCTAGAAGTATTAAACCGGAAGTACGAGTATTTTCCCTGCAGTTCTCACCAACTGGTCAAACTTGGGCAGCTGCCACAACAGAGGGGTTGTTATTGTATGGTTTAAATGGTTCTTATGTATTCGATCCCTGGGATTTACAAATAGGTATCACACCAATGGCTATAAGGGAAGCTATCAAAGAAGAAGAATATGGAAGTGGTAAATTGATGATTTTCATAACTAAATTCAAATCAAAAATTGTTACATGTTGTATTTAATTTTTTTGTTATATTTATCATTCAGCAAAACCAATTAAATGCAATTTACATTTTATTTGATTGCAGGACTGATGACGTCATGACGGTTACCTTGAGAACTGTCATCTGTCACCATTTATAATTTTATCTGTATAAAGATATAAGCACTTTGGAATGAATTTCAAATTAAAGATAAGGCAATTTGCACAAATAATAATGATGATTATAAAAAAGACAGAATACATAAAAAGGTAAAAGGATTACCTAAGTTAAAGAAAACTTTCATTTGCACTAGTTGACAATAATAGCAAAACCATTGTTGATGTTGATGAAGAAAATATGCTTAAGTTTAACGACGAGGGAAATCATAAAAACTGCACTCATTTATAAAACAAACACCTACTGGGTTGTTAAAACTGATTGATAAAGGGAATAGTGATATATATTTATCATAGTCCTTGAAAAACACAAAGCAAGTAAATGCCCAGAATATTGGTTAATGAGAACACTTCACACACAACAAAATTAGAATAAAATGCAAAGATAATATTGAAGAAAGACATGCGTTCGGGTTTAGAGAAGCGCTGATTTAAAAATGTGATTTTACTTGCTTGGTGGATTTCGAAAAAAGTTTGATAAAGTACACACAAATAATTAATCGAGATGAGAAAGCTGGCGTGTAACGCCACTGGTTTGATATTTCTAGTGTTAGTTATGTGAGTTTTAAAGCAAGCGTCGATAGATAGTATTAATAATATACATATCACTTATCAAACAAGTGTTGTTGCGCTCTAACCCTATCTTGCTTTATCTTTGATACCTCGCGATTTTAATAGCTGGCAACTCTAATTTACGACCATTTTTTCTCAGGCAATCTTAAAGCATCATGTTAAGAAAAAAAATCGTTTTAATTTGATATAACAACATGCCTATACCCCATGAGCAGCGTATTTTATAAAAAAAAATGAATGAAATAAAATTTTTGTTCAAAAACTAATAACTATTAATTGAATTAAAACTATTTGCGATCACTTTTTGGCTGGCAACCTGTTATCAATGTTATTCTCCTATTTTTAAATGTATGTAAACATGTGAGTTTGATTAACTAAGTTATGATGATCTTGCCGTGGGATTTTAGACTAATATTGCTTATATTTGTTTGATAGGTTGTACATCAACAGATTATTGTATAAATATCTATAAAAGTCTTTGTTTTTCGCTTAAAATGTTTTGAAAATAACCTCTTAAATTTTACTCTTATAAAAATAGATGTATTTTTTGTTGTAGCATTAGTGATGTCCCTGAAATTGAATGAAATCAACTTAGTACAAGAGGTTATTGAAAAAATTCCAGTCAAAGATGGTAAGTGAAATATTTTAACGAAAAGTATCAAATCTTCATTCATTTGATTGCTTTTAGTGGAACTTTTGGTCGCGGATCTGGAAGAAAAATGCATACAGAAGTTACTGATTGTCATAGCCACTTATTTAGAAAGTTCTCGACATTTAGAGTTCTACCTTTGTTGGGTACAACACATTTTAACGATACATGGACCAAAAATCAACGCCCAGAAAATCTTACCAACATTGTTGGCTTTAGAGAAGAGTTTGCTTCGAAAAAGTGAACAGATTTCTAAAATGTAAGTATATATTATGTTAATAGATAATTGTATTGTCCTTTTTAACAAGTATCCAAATTCTGTAATTTCTTGTATCAATACTAAAAAATATCAAACAAATCTAAGGTTTTGTTATACTAGAAAAACGGGTCTTAAATGGCACGTACAACTTTGATGGATAAAAATATGTTGACTACACTAAATTTTTTTATAGTTTGAACGGCCATTTTGTCATAAAAACTTATATATTCTATCGAATCAATGGTGTTTTGTAATGGTGCATTATATTCGGGTTTTATAATGTATTTGCTGTTCAAGTTTTGATTTTAGCATTGATAGTATTAGATCATAATAAGTAAAGGCGTGACACAGGGCTGCATCCTCCTGCCTCTGATTCTTAATTTATGTAGAATATATCTTTCAACTTTCACGGAAAAATGAAAAAGATATCAAAATAAATGGAATTCCCATAAATAATTTGCGATATACTGACGATACAGCTATTATAGCAGACAACTAGAAGAATTACGAGAGATATAAATAATATTAATACAGTGAGAGAGGAATATGGTCTCAATATTAAAATCACAAAAACGGAAATAATGATAACCAGCAGACAATACAACTTATATATACAGTGTAGGAAAAAGTTTATGGTCGGTATGGACCTTACGTGAGATGGAGTGAGAAACAGCTGTTTAAAAAGAGAGAGGTATATTAGGTCCGCCCTTTATATCGCCAGACATGTATGCGTAGAAATAATAAAAAAGGGGAAGTTCAACGTTGCCAAACTTATTGGTTTTATTTGACCTGTTGTCTTTTTTGCATTTGAACAATGTTCTAAGATAATCAAATTTGGGTGAAATTGATTTAAATGGAAGCTTACTATTTTTTATTGGCAATATGCCACAAGTTTACTTTACAATGAGTATAATATAACATTTTGATTTCCCAATATGAAATAATAAACTGCATACAATAACGCCACATTAAAAAATCTTCATACACAATAATTATTTGGCAACGTCTGTCTCTCTGGTCAAAACACCGAGTAACAAGTAGTTGGCCTACCACGACCGAGGTGGGTCGTGGTAGTTTTATCGTTAAGAGCGTAGGCGCACAATTTCGGGCCAATGTTTTTTTAAATGCATTCATTTTTTTCGAATCCTGAGAAAACTAATAAATATTTTTGAAAAATTTAAACGCAGAATGAAACAATACATTATTACCGAGGGCCGAAAGTCCCTGAAAAATTCTATAATGTTTATTTTAATAAGTTACAGGGGTGAAAAAAAAGAGAAAATTTAGTATGATTTTTAATTTCAAATATCTCATTCAAAAAACTTTTTGTTTATTCTAAGGGAATTTCGGCCCTCGGTAATAATTTAATCTTTTAATTTTCTGCATTTAAATTTTTCAAAAACATTTGTTAGTTTTCTCAGGATTCCAAAAAAAAATGAATGTATTTAAAAATTTAAATTTTCGTAAACAAGTAACTATGATTGGTTAAAAGTACTTTCAAGTAAGAGAGTACCTACATAAATAAACATAATGGCTATTATAGTTTATGTGTATATTTATTGAAGTGAAAGAAACTAATGATATATTTATTATAATTTGAGAAATAAATTAAATAATACAAATAGTAAATGGTACTTACATTTACATTACACGTTATTATTAAATCGCAAATTAAAGTTTTTCTACTTTACTTCTTGTTAACCGTGTTCTTTTTTTATTTAAAATTAAACCAGATTTTGAACATGTGTTCACATTTACAATACTTTATGAATATAGTGGTTAGGTTAGGATATACATGACGATGGTTTTTCCACCGTTGTAATGGACTCTCGATACAGGTGTGCGTGTAGATGAGTCATCTCCAATTAATTGATCAAAAATACACCATGGACTTAAGTCATCTTTATCGGTTTCTTTTTCTTATACTGGTTGATTTTCAATAGTGCAATCTTCTTGTTCGTTAATTATAGAAGTAACCAGCGTCTTAACTTTTTCTTTTGTTTTTTTAGCTTCATTTTTATCAGAAAAACCCTGCACTTTAAATCGTGAATCAATAAATGTACATAATGACAATGTGCCACTCTCTTCTATCCCTCTAAATCTTTTTGCTAAACCCGATATTAGTAATTGTACTACGTCGGATACTATGGATGCAAGGTTACCGTTTGCTAAAGTTTTATTGCAAGATTCTTGCAGGCAGCGTACCATAACAATCACTGAACTACCCTTCAAGTATTTTTGGCCATTCATTGTACTTGTTATTTCTTTAAACGGTCGTAAAATGTGGGAAAGTTGAGAACAAATAATCCAGTGTTCTTTATTTAGATTTGGTCTAAGTCTGTATTATTTAATACCAATGTGGAACCTTTTCAACTTTTTTAACATGTAATAGGTGAAGTTTTACCTAGTTTCCACGTCTTGGATTGGCCGTTTGGGAACTTTGTTATGTTGTAATTAATACTTTAAAAGCCTTTCTGAAGATAAGGTACTTTTTTTGAAATGGGTTTTTTTGCCGAATTGTCGAAAAAAGGACTTTTTATTTTATCTATTTGTACACGACAGCATTTAAGTGCGTCTTCCACCAATAAATTACCGTATGAGCAAAACAACTTAAATGTTTTTATTCCAAAATATCTTTAATAGCTTTGACCATATTTGAGGTATTATCAGTTACTGCAAAATTTACTATTCATTTTAGACCACACTGATTAATAATTTCACTAATTTCAGAAGCGATGTTTTCTGAATTATGAAAAGGACGAAACCAGTACAAGAAAAAGAAACTGATAAAGATGACTTAAGTCCATGGTGTATTTTTGATGAATTAATTGGACATGACTCATCTAAACATACACCTGTATCGAGAGATATAAAAGAAGTCGACATGTATTTGTCTGATGATATATTACCCACAAAAAATTTCGAACGGATATTGGAACTGTCTATTACAGTGGTGGAAAAACCATCGCCATGTATATCCTAACTTAACCACTACATTCATAAAATATTGTAGTATTGTAACAAAATCTTTTCCTTGTGAACACATGTTTAAAATCTGGTTTAATTTTGAATAAAAGAAGAACACGGTTAACAAGAAAAGTGAAAAAACTTATGTTTTTAAATGTCAATTTAGACGATTCTTAAACGGTAATAGCCAATATGGTTGTGTACTCGCTAATTATAATACTGGTAAACAATCAACTAGTTACAGTTTACGAAAAACGGTTCCGATAAAAATTTAAAAAACTAGAGGACCCACCCACCCTAGTTTCTTAGCTATATTAGGATCGGAACCCAGAGAATATGTAAAATATCTCTGATCGGAATTAATCGTCTCACTAATGGGCAATCGGTGTTAAAAAGGTTTATGGAGGGGAGACGAAGGGGAAATATGATTGTTGTCTTTGTCTATTCGCTGAAAATATGATTTTATATCTGCGTTAAATATCCTGTTAAACTTTACCACGCCGACCATAAACTTTTACCTACACTGTATATAGTTGAGAAATTTAAATAATTGATTTACCTTAAACAGTAAACGGAACTCCGACGAAGAAGTGAAGATATGAGTAGCAATAGCTAGAAATAATTTTATCAAATTCAATAACTACCTTTGTCAGTTCGAAACTCCTTTGAATGTTCTCCGTATTCGCGTTCTAAAATGCTACATATGGCCAATAATCATGTACGGTAGGGAGACCTGGTCACTTAAAGTAAGATCGCTAAACCGTATTGAAGCGTTCGAAATGTGGTATCTCAGAAGATTGCTTAAAATTAGTTGACCATATTACAAATGAAGAGGCCTTAAGAAGAACTAATACCCAAAGAAAGCTTCTGAACACTGTTAAACAGCGAAGTGTCTCATATCTCGGCCATATTATTTTAAGAGGCGAGAAATATAATCATTTAAAAATGACTTTAATGAGCAATATTGAAGGTCGGAGAGGACCAGGTCGCAAATGATACTCGTAGTTCAGAGACATAAGAAACTTGTTGGGCATACCTGATATCAATACAATAATAAGAAGAACAGAAGAAGAATCTTTACGCATAATGCAACCAGCACGAATGCCTACACAGTGCATAGCGTACGGCACCAGAAGAACACCATATGATACCGCCAATTTGCGTAGTATACTATCATAGACTCAATATTTCCATAATTATTTCGCGAACCACTGCTTGAGAAACGATGCTCTATATGGTTAAAGAACTGTTAATGCTGAACGGTATACAACAATTTGTTTGCCAACAGTGTTCGATAAATTGAAAAACAACAAAAAGCGTGACATTCTATGATATCAAAAATCTCCTTTCTGAGGTTGTCACAAATATTTCTATTGCAGTATCTGGATTATTACTAGTCATATTTCTTTAAATTATTTTAGGAAATATATCAAATAAAATATTTGTTAAATAAACTCGATATATTTTCCACTTATAACAGAAGTGTTCTTGTGTGTAAGTTCTGTACTTCGATGTTCGAGTTTTTTAACTATATACAGCCAATTCCCGGGAATTATACCTTTTTAATTAAATAATTGTTCTTTTTATATCTAGGGATTATTTTGATTAAAATATACATTTTCTTGATTTTTTTTTTATACAGATATTGTTATCTTTTGTTTCAGTTGTGATTATAACAAATACACCATGCAATATGTGGCAAATTTGGGTGAGAGCATCGATAAGAAGACCAATGAATTAAAAATGGAAGTAGAAAGTGAAGAAGAGGAAGATGATTCTGATGTAGAGGAAGTATTTGATTCCGATATTGACTAGAAAACATATTAATTAGGAAAATAAAATATTTTAATAATACTTGTTTTATTTGTTTCCTTCCGTACAATAAAATTTTTGAGATTTTTACATTTAAATTTAAATATACAATATAAAAAAACGGGTTGTGGCACTCCGGGAGTAAACTAGAAGTGAAAGCATAGCTTTCTTATCGTCTACCCGCGGAGGGATGGTTTTTAACTTAGAACATAAATTTTACCTTATTTGATTTGACTTGATTCGATTCCAATCGGTTCAGTTCGATTCCAATCGATTCGATATTCTTTGACGACAATTCGAAACTGCGTTTGACTTCACCACAGAATAATAAACAATCAGAATGCCCACTCTGCTTGAAAAAATAAGTACGCGCAGACGGAATCAGTCATGTTTTAAACGGAACCAGTGCTGTTCAGTGACATTTTATCTGGTGTGCATAGAAAATGCAGTTCTGTCGTAGCTTGTCACAAATTTCTCAATTCGAGTTTATGTTTCCGTTTAAAATATGGGATCGCGTGCTGACAAACTTCAAAGGCAGCATCTGAGAGTGGGAATTCTGATTGTTATTTATTCTGTGACTCCACGTAATGTGTGGTCGTTATAGTCACTACTGTCGTTTAAGTCGATTTTATTTTTTTCACGTGTATGTGAAAATTGTCACAGTTCTCTGTACGATCTACCGCTCCGTCCACATGATAAGAAAGCTATACTTAAAAAGGAATCTAGATGATCGGAGAAGTACGAATTTTAGTTAACGTCAAAATAAAGATCCTAAGGGAAAAATCAAAGTTAAAAGAAAATACAATGGAAATCGTTTGTCCTTGAAGCGCGAGCCACTATATCGCCTTTATAACTGATAGCTTTTGTAGCCGTTTAAAAAATAATTATTAAAAAAAAGATAAAATATTTAATCTTATTTTTTACTCAAATTTAAAAGGGAAATTCAACCCCCTCTGTGGCTCAGTGGTAAGAGCGCCTACCTTAAAACCTAAAGGTCGTGAGTTCGAATCTCATCTGGTTGGAGAAATTTTTGTTTATTAAAAATTAATGAATGAAAATAATTTCTATCCTTGTGCGATCGGTACTCACCGGAGGGACCGCAGACGTTCGTATACAATTAGCGTCTCTTAGCAAAGACAATGACGTCGACTTTGCTAAGTATCGGGACAATTACTCTACACATACACACACACACACACACACACACACACACACCACACACACACACACACACACACACACACACTACACTAGGTACCTGACTGTACCATGCCAATGATCTTAGTTGTCGAGGCATTAACTCAATAATAAAAGGGAAATTCCCAGTGGTTGGCTGTATACCATAGAAAACAAAAAAAAACTTACAATGAAGTAAAACTTCCTTTGTAAATGGTATCTAAAATGGATTTTATCCTTTTTTCGATGACGAGGCATACAAACTCGCGAGTAGATAATCGAAACTTTCTTGGTTTATTCCATGGACGTATAAACACAGCAATAAGATACCTTTAACACACAATGTTTTGAAGCTTCGATAGAATGTGATGCTTCCGCAATGAGCATAAGCGTGCTTGAATTTTTACTCGCGGGTAATTATTCAGATTTTAAAAATTGGAAGTAGTAATAATGTATAAAAACACGTTCAAAGAATTAAAAAAAAAAACGAGAGTTTAACTAATAACAAATCACGTCTTTATAGAAAAATTAAAATACAATTTTATTTGCTTTAAAATTAATACAATAAAATATAGTTGAATTCAAGTTAATTTTTAATAGGTATCAAAATAATGCTACAATTAAAAATCTTTGTTTTCTCCTAAATTTGCTACCAAAATAGTTCGATCGTCAATATTATTTGTAAACCTACATAGAAAAATAAATGAGTTTTATTCATTTCACTAATTTATTTGCATCCATAAGAAATATTAAATTAAAAAGGTACTAAACAGATCTTTTTTAATCAGATGATGTCTACTTACAATTTAAAAATGTCTACTAATTTCATGAACTTATATCTTATTCAATACATTAATGAACATGAATAAACCCAATAGTACGCCTATTAAAACGTAAACAAACACGCTTCCTCATTTCCTTATCTTAAATAATGTAAATTGTATGTACTTACAAATGAAATGAGAGATCGGGATGTAAATATTTCGTTTATTTTATTTCACTTTTCACAAATATCACTCAAAATACAGCCAAAACATCGAAAAACAACTTTTACCAAAAAGTAAACAAACATGGAATAGCATTTGAAGTTTGACGTAGATCCATAAGACAGAGAAATGTAAACAACCGTTGCCATTTATAAATAGTTTTCAGTGCTTCTACATTTAAAATAATTGATTGATATCTATTATACGCTATTATTAAATGATAATGCACACTATGTGCACACTTTATATTTTGATTACAATTCAATATATTAATCTAACCAATAAATTATTATTTTGGTTTGATAGCACATGTAGAGTATAAAATACGTATATTTTTCGTATTATAAATACGTATTATAAAATACGTATTTTTTTTATAATACGAGTATAAAATAAAATATTTTCAGCGACTCGTGAATAAGAAATTTTAAAACAAAACGTGACAACAGTTGAAGGTGCTGAGAATGTGACCTATTCAAATAATTTTGACTTCACAATTTTATGTAAATAACTGAGTCCATCTGTGTTTATACGTCCATGATTTATTCTCAAAAAGTTCCTGTATTCTTCTGGTTCTGAATCACAAAAAACTTAGTAAATGTTCATGGGTGAAGTGTTTTCTGATTTTTTTCCACCGTCTTTTTTTCTTTTGTTCTTTTTTCTTCTTCAAGTCCATCTCCGCGGCGGAGGTCGGTAATCATCATAGCTATTCGGACTTTTGAGACGGCTGCTCTGAAAAGTTCATTTGATGAACATCCGTACCACTCGCTCAGGTTGCGCAGCCATGCCATTCTACTTCTCCCTATGCTTCTCTTTCCTTGGATCTTTCCCTGCATAATCAGTTGAAGCAAGGTGTATTTTTCTCCAAGTGTAATATGTCTGAGATATTCCAATTTTCTTGTTTTAATTGTATTTAAAATTTCTATTTCTTTATTCATCCTTCTCACAACCTCTTTGTTTGTGACGTGTTCTGTTCACGATATTTTCAGAATTCTTTACACCCACAGCTCGAATGATTCCAGCTTTTTATTGATGTCGCATTCAATGTCCAGGTTTCCGTTCATAAAATAAAACCGAAAAAACATAGCACCTTGCCAACCTAACTCTTATGTTGTGTTAATCCAAAGAAGCCAAAATCTGTTTTCAAAACCATTGTTCAACAAGAACGAATCACAAGCACAGAACCAATATAACGTGTGAACTGTACGTCGATTTCTGATGGAATGGATCCACAGGTAGCTCCTCTATATACTCTCGTTTCTTCGACGTTGATCATTGACTCATGTCTAACAATATCATGTCTCATGTCTCTTAGTGATTTTGACTCAGTTTGATTGAAAACTGGTTTTGTATATGTATATTTAGGTATGTCTTTATGTCTAGAGAAACCATTACACATTCTTAACGGATACTGGCCACATAGGTCAATGAGTCAAGATCCATTCTCATTCAAGTTATTTTCTCAATACATAGAGCAACGGAAAGGTCAATGTTGAATCATTCTTTATGAGTGGAAACCTAGACACGTAGCTTATCGTAATTAAGGACGTCCTCCAACAAGACGGTCGGACGACATCAAGCGCATCCAGTACAACTAGGTTTAAGTTTAAGATTGAAAGCAATGGAATTATTTAAGGGAGGCCTACGATAAGCAGTGGGTTGAAAACACCTAATGATGGTGAAGTTTTTTGCAGGATTTTCTATTTTTAACCAGTTTTTTCAATTCCATATGCTTTTTTAAACCTCAGGGTTAAATAACTACTCACAGTGTTTAAATATTTTATTCGAAGCAAAAATTACCTACGTTATATTTTTTATATAAAAATGGACGGAGTACAATAAGTATCATTAAAATATTAAAAATAAATAACCATAAACATTAAACAACTAAGTGAGACTTATAAACGAAAAATGACAGAAGTTAATCTGTTACAACAAACTATAAATATATAAAATGGCAGTGAGTCGTGTAAATATATTATAATATAATGTTATAATGTACTTCGTAACTTCTTAGCAACACTGCTAAGAAGTCGATGTCGTCGTCTAAGACAATTACAAAACATGGAAACGAAATAAATAAGTTCAATAATCTTTGGTGCAAATCTATCTAAGGCTAGAAATCACAAAACTAAACAAAATTAACCAGGAACCGAAAAAATAGGTACACATTTGATAACAACTCTCATAGGTGACAGAATATATAGGTTAAGCCACATTTTTGTCCCTCATTGGCATATTTCCTTGAACTAGAACTAGAAGTCATGAATGTCGAAGTGATAGAATACACATTTTACGAGTTTATTATCACTTTTTTCCATTTTATCCTCTTTATTTTACTACATCCGTTTGTATAGACCACGTAAACTATTTTTTTTTTAAAGTGTTTCGAATCCAAAATGATATTATTTATAGTAAACAAAGAAAAATAGAGATAGAACTGTGATAAACTAAGAGAAACTAAGTGACAGCTTAGATATATAACATCACAGCCACCTAAAGCTTACAAGCCGTGAAGTGAGAAAATTGGCAACGTTGGAGGTAGTCCGATAGTGGTCCTATAGCCCTGTGTTTACTTATGAGATTATGCTAATTTTGTTTGTATTTCTTGTATAATTGGTGAATTATTCGATTAAAAAAAAAGGTATGTATTTTTTACGTATATTGTAATAATTGTATGAAGCATTAAAGAATTAGATATATATATTATTCAGACAAATAATACGTACAAACTGTTAAATTCACAAATTCGCTTTAGTAATTACAAACCCCAAGTCGATGTTAATTTATTGGCACAGGGAGTAGTAATATGATATTCTAACATATTTTTTTAATTACAGATGCCGAGACACTGCAGTGTACCAAATTGCAAATCAAATTACGCAACTACTTTAAAGTATGAAAAGGCCCAAAGTACATTCTCTTTTCCCAAAAACGATCACCTTCGTACTCAGTGGGTTAGATCTATTAACCGTGAAGATTTCAGAGTAACTTCTAGTTCGGTAGTATGTAAAAAACATTTTGATGCAACGGATATTATTGAAAGTGAGTCATTCATTGATAAAAATGGTACGGTTCTTCAACGAAATTTGGTTTATCCCAAGTTGAAAGAGAATGCGATACCAAGAATTTTTGAAAACCAACCGTCATATTTATCTAACCCAAAACCACCAACAAGAAAAAATCCTGAAACTAGGCGAGCAGAAATAAGTCTCCGGGAAGAAAATAATATAAAAGAACTCGAAAACAAAGACCTTATCGTGGATTTCAAGGAACTTTTACAAAGTGTTAGTGAGAGGGTTGAGTTAAAAAACTGGCAAATAAAAGTTGTAGAAGAAAGGATTTGTTTTTATTTATTAAATATTGACAATCAGTTTAGTGATGAGTGTATAAAAGTTATTTCAAACATTAACATTACGAAGGAATTACTTGTATCTGTTTATGTGAAGGACATCCAACTGTCACCTCATGATTTAAAATGTATTTTACCATTTGACTGTAAGTTATCGCGTTGGTCACAACTAGAAAATCTGCTGTCCAGGTATTCTTTTTTTTTTGAAAGTCCTATTGACAATAATTTTAAAATAACCAAAATATGTAGTGAAATTGACAGAGTCATAGAAAATACAGATGTAGATAAAATGAAGGGAGTTCTGGCTTTTGTGAAAAATCAGTTACTGTTACTAACAGCAAGTAGGGCAAAATATTCTCTACCAACAATTATTTTTGCTCTTACCATATATAATCAGTCAACATCATGTTATAATATTATTCAGCAGTACTTAAATTTGCCCACTAAAAGATATTTACAAATGATAACATCATCCTTTCATGTATCTCCTGATGATCAATTAGAAAATAATTATTTATCATATCTTGCTTCAAATCTGAATGATCGAGAAAAAATAGTCAATTTACTTGTAGATGAAATATATGTAAATCCTGGAGTTCATTATCACTCAAAACAAATTACTGGTTTTGCTGCCAACAATGATAAACAATTAGCGAAAACTATTCTAACGTTAATGATTTCATCAGCATTTGCACATTTTAAAGAAGTGGTGCGTTTAGTACCTGTATGTAATATTGCTGGTAATGAACTCAAAGACATAGTTCTTGAATCAATTCAGTATATTCAGGACTGTGGATTTAAAGTATTGTGTGTAATTACCGACAACAATCGTTTAAATCAAAACATGTTTGGTCAGTTATCTCCAAATTTTTCCATATCTAATCCTAAGTTTAATAATGAGAATATTTATTTATTATATGATTTTGTACATATTTTTAAAAATATTAGGAATAATTGGCTTAATAAGAAAGACCCAGAAAAAACCTTTATTTTTCCAGATTTTAATAATCATTCAGTTCTTCGAAAGGCATTTTTTAAGGACTTACAAACATTGTACCAAATTGAGATAAACTTTTTAACCAAAAGAGCATATAAACTAAATCATAAATCTATTTATCCAAATAATTTTGAAAGACAAAAAGTGTCTTTGGTAGAAAATATTTTTCATGAAAGTACAATAGCTGCTTTACAGTCATGTAGTATTTATACAGACACAGCCTCATTTTTAGAAATTATTAGAAGTTGGTGGAACATAATTAATGTAAAAACTAAATTTAAAGGACAGGCAAAAAGGAATGATTTGGCTACCCCAATTTTTTCAGATAATGATTTCAAAGTAGTTTTTTTAAAAAAATTTGTGATGTGGCTAGATTCTTGGCATCAAATTCCTGAAGGCTCTTCACTTACAAATGATACATACCTTGCTCTTAAAAACAGCACATCAATTTTGATCAAAGTAATAGAGTATTCATTTAATCATTTAAATATAGAATTTATATTACCTGGCAAATTCCAAACGGATAATTTAGAAGAAAGGTTTGGTCGTTATAGGTACCTATCTGGCTGTAATTATAACATTTCAGTTACTCAAGTGATTGATTCAGAAAAAAAAATTCGAATACAGAATATTCTGAAATCGTCTGTTACTAGTGATTTAACACAATTAAAATTTCAGCCACCTGATGATCTAAATTGTGCAACACTTAATCAGTTCATAGAATGTTCAGAATTTACTTCTATTTTTAATAGTGATTATCTGCGTACATACAATTGTGAGGAATCAAGTCAAATATATATTAGCGGATATGCAGTTCATACTGTACAAAAAACTCTTAAATGCCTTACCTGTAGAGATCTGATTGTACAAAGTATAGGTGATAAGGTAAATGATGAATATTTTGATTATCTGCAACGAGGTGGTTTATCTGTTGCAACAAATGAAGTTCATTATATTTATTATCACTCGTGTGCTCTTTTTGAATACATAATTAAACATCCAGAAACTATGTCACTGTTTTTGTCTCATAAAAATCAAAAATATTTATTGGCTTCTTTAGCCCTCACGAGTTTGGAAAGTGACAATTTTTATATTGATTTTTCTAAAATTTGTGTTTGTGGAACAGCTGTTAGAGAATTATATTTTAAAATTTCTGTGATTTTCTCCAATACTTTGTTAAATAACTTCACAAAAAACAAGAATAATGAAATTATGACAAAGAAACTAACTAAAAGTTTATCTAAAAAGCGCAAGCTTTCAACTTTAAAAAAATAAATACCTGGAATTTCAATAACATTTTTTTAAGCCACTCTTAATAAATATAATATTCGCTCAAGGGATACTAGAATTCAATAAACTGCAAGTTGTTTACAAAAATATTAAAAGAATATTTTCTTTTTTTTTAACGTAAATTATGTAAATAATGTAAGCTGAATGCACTTGTATTACTTTTAAATTCTATTAATATTACACCTCATTGTATTCAATGTTTTGCAGTTTTAATAGATGTGATATATATATATATATATATATATATATATATATATATATATATATATATATATATATATATATATATATGTACCTTATCAAACTATTTTGTTCGATTTTTTTACTTAATTTTAACTTTATAGCGAATATTATGATGTTCCTCTTTTATTTATTATTTTGATGGGCTCTTTATAGTCGGACTACTTCTAACAGCTGATGCGGCGTTGCCATTTTTAGTTCACGGCTTGTAAGCTTTAGGTGGCTGTGATAACATATGACATGATTTATGTTAACGTCACGACAGTATGCCAAAAAAATTTTCGTTTAAATGAGCTATTTTAATATTTTATCATTTTTCTTTGATTTTTTCGTGTATAGTTTTTTTTCGTGTATAGATTTTTCAAACACAAACAACTTTTGGTGTTAAAAACTGTCATTTTCAATTTGTAAACAACTTCTATGAGGTTATGTGTGGTTATGTCTTATGATTGTTTATTGTAGTAAAACGTTTCTCTACTTGAATTACCAAAAAGTTATGAAAACTTTTCTTACCAAACAGTTAAGTACCTATATGTATGTAAGGGTATATGTATGAAAACTTTTCTTACCAAAAAAGTGAGTTAAATAGATGCAAATAGTGTGTAGGATTGTTAAATAGACAACTTTTGAACTATTGCCAATTAATAATAACATCTCATAAATTCTGTAAGCAAAAGGTATGCTGACAAAATCTATTCAACTTTCATCCTAAAGATTTATCTATAGGAGGGTCACATAGAGTCAGTATTGGTTGACAACATTCAACATGTTTTATACTTGTAACATGGTATTTACTCAACGTACACACACTACAAAATACAAATTCCGCAAATAACGCAGATAGTTCAAAATAAAAAAGGTTAGAATAAACCAAAATTTGGCAATTTGAAATATTTCCATTACAAATTATTTTGAAATCGTAATATTATTATCTTAATTTATGATGTTGAGATTAGAAAACAGCAACAGATGTTGTATATTATACGAAAACCTGTATAAAGCAAAATAAAGTACTTAAATGGTTAAATAAAGATGATCAGGACGTTAGGCGTTAAAAAATCAAAAAAGCTGGAAGTAAATAATTCCGATGAAAAGTAAACGAGACAACGATGGGATAAAGAAATGTATATAGCGACATTGTATTAAGTGTTGTCTATAATATGTGTCGACAAGATTTATCTAAGATGTTTTAGTCTTATTTCCTATCTTATGGTATGCAAATCCAACGGTCTACAAATTGATCGTAGATGTATATTTTGGTTCATGTATTAAAGATACGACACTTGTCAGTGGCTTATCCTATATTTCTGTCACCTTCACGTACAAACCTATGACGAATTCTGCTACTTGGGTTGTGGTGTGGTCGCCCTCCTATACGAAGAGGACGGTAAACCTAATGCTGGAGGCAAACTGGCAGTGTTCGATAACGTGTTGTCTAATTTCCTGGCCTCGTGCTCCAATAAAAGGGCGTCAAGAGAGGGATCCTGCGATACCGTCCTCAGGGAATCTCCTAAGGCTTGTCGCAGCTGCTGCATCTCTCTGCCCGCTTTGCTGCTTCTCATTACGTACTGTTGGCGTCGTTTGATCTCTTGGTTGAGCTGTTCTCGTAGGAGAGTTATCTACAAATATGGTAAAAAAGTTAATATAATACGAGATGTTTCGTTAGGATTCGTAAATAATATGGCAAGGCAATAGGTCCTGATAAGTGATAATATTGTTACGATTTTAAATGTTATGGCGTATAGAACTGTAAATATTTTATGACTAATTCTTTTTTATTGATTCTCGTAATTTCTAGGTCAAAATCTACCTGACACCCGTTGGGTCCCCTTCGCTATAAAACGACAAATAAGAGCTTTCTGGAATCGCACCGATACCAGTTTTTAGATCATTGCCGCTGTGTGTACGTCGAGAACTGCATCGTATTTTCCACAACATTCTGTTTACCAGCTGGTTTCAAATAAATAACGGAAGATTCTCATTGAGCACCAGTGAAGAAAAGAAGGTCGCGGATATCGGGTTAAAATTGTATCGAACGCAAATAAATTATTTGTAATTATTAAGTGTAAAATAAATTAGTATAAAATAAAGACTTTTGATAAATTATCGTGAGTTTTAAGAAATTAGAATAAAGACAATAAATTAGAATAAAGACAATAAATTAGGACTAATAAAAACATAATATCCATTCTGAATTTACAAAATTAATGGACGATAATGGACGTATTTGCAGATAGTGTGAAAGAGCTTTACACTATACAGACTAGATTGGAATATAAAAAGTCCAAATAGAACAAATTCTGTAGACATAGAACCAGATAAGTATTTATTAAGATAAATTCGATTCTAGAAGTTGACTACTTGAGTGCTAGATCTTGAAAGCTTGGACTCTGTCGAAAGCATCTAAGAAGAAGATGGGTAGTTTTGAGATGTAGCAAGAAAATACCTAATAAATATGTACCTAAAATAGGTAAAAAATATGAACTGTGAAGTAAAAAATAAACATATACACGAAGCTGTAAGTTTTATTTTATGTGAAGGTCACCTTTTCGGTCATTTTTCAGAAAATTTACAGTTCCTCTATCCGATTTTTCGTATATACCGTATTTACTACATATTATTTATATATAGAACTAAGTTAAAGAAAATACGCGAAAAAACTGTAAAAAAACATGACATGAGAAAACTGAAATGTAACGAAGTAAAAGAAATAGTCAGCAAAACATTAAATAGAAAATTTAAAGAAATCGATAATACAACGGAAAGCACAGAAGATAAGATAGAATCCCTTAAGAAAACAATAGACGACATTAAAGACAATTTTATGAAGAACGAAGAAGGTAAGAATAAGACATGGATGGCGACAGAGATTCTGCAACTAATGGAAGAAAGAAGGAAAAACAAGAACGATAACTCCATGTATAAAACATTACAGCGAGAGATACAGAGAAAGATCAGAGAAGCCAAACAGAAAGAACTGGAGAAAAAATGCCAAGAAATCGAAATTCTCCAAAGTAAATACGACGACTTCAACGTGCATAAGAAGGTAAGAGAAATTACAGGTAAATGTAAAAACAGAAGAATAAGTAAACTTGTTAATGACAATGGAGAAATAATCGTGGACAAAGAGAGTATCAATGATACCTGGAAAAATTACATAAGAAATTTATTTTTTGATGAGAGAGAGAACCAGCCCCCAATACCTACGGAAACAGGACCACCTATACTAGTGGCAGAAATAAGAGCAGCCATAATATCACTAAAAGAAGGTAGAGGTCCAGGACCAGACGGAGTACAATCTGAATTTCTTAAACTTCTTGATGATGAATCTTTAAGAGTACCATGTAAAATCTTCAATAATATCTATGACACAGGCAATATCCCAAAAGATTGGCTACTTTCAGAATTTATTACCTTACCAAAGAAACAGGGAGCAAAAAAGTGCGGAGAATATAGGCTAATAAGTCTAATGAGCCATACATTAAAACTTTTTCTTAAAATTATACATCGTAGAATATACAAGCTATGCGAAGAGAGAATACAAGACACACAGTTTGGATTCATGAAAGGCGTAGGTACAAGAGATGCACTGTTTAGTCTACAAGTATTATTTCAAAGATGCAGAGATATGACTTGCGATATTTACACCTGCTTTGTGGACTACCAAAAAGCATTTGATACAGTTCAACACCAAAAAATGATGGATATTCTAACAAAAGCCCAAATGGATGATAAAGATCGGCGTATAATACAAAATTTATACTGGAACCAATCAGCCACAATAAGAACGAATTTTGGAGGTGAACCAACGGAAATGATCCAGATTCTACGAGGCGTTAGACAAGGTTGTATACTTTCACCTATATTATTTAATCTATATTCAGAGGAAATATTTAGTGAAGCCTTGGAAAAATGCGAACATGGAATACTTCTAAATGGAGAACGCCTAAACAACATCCGTTATGCAGACGACACCGTTATTTTTGCAGACAGTTTGAACAGTTTACAGCAACTAATAAACAAAGTAAATGAAGTAAGTGAAAGATTTGGACTTCAAGTAAATATAACAAAAACTAAATTTATGATCATCAGCAAAAATAAAGTTAGAGACGCTCAACTACTTATCAATAATACACCAGTGGACCGAGTAAAACAGTATAACTATCTTGGAACAACAGTAAATGAACAATGGGATCACTCACAGGAAATAAAATGTAGAATAGAGAAGGCTAGGAGTGCATTTAATAACATGGCCAAACTCTTTAAAAGCCACAATCTTAATCTGGAGATAAAAGTAAGGCTCCTACGATGTTATATCTTCTCAATATTGTATTACGGAGTTGAATCCTGGACACTAACTGAAGCAATGGAGAAAAAACTTGAAGCCTTCGAGATGTGGCTATACAGGCGAATTCTAAGGATATCATGGACAGACAAGATAACCAACGAGACCGTATTACGAAGAGTGGGCAAAGAAAGAGAGGTGATGTATACCATTAAAAGGAGAAAGTTGGAATATCTCGGACATATAATGAGAAACAGCACTAAATACAGATTACTGAAGGTAATCCTACAGGGTAAAGTATTCGGAAAGCGAGGAATTGGGAGAAGGAGAATATCATGGTTGAAGAACCTGAGGAAATGGTTCTCCACAACAACAACGAATCTATTTAAAGCATCAGTCAATAAAATAATTATAGCCAGAATGATTGCCAATATTCGGAACGAATAGGCACTGAAAGAAGAAGAACTACATATTTTCGTTTATGCTGTTTATATCATATTTACCTGATTTTCCAATCTAGCCACTTGCTGCCGATGGCTCTGTTCTCTAGCCTCCAAGAGCCGCTCAGCTTGAAGTTGAGCTGCCCTATACCTTTCAATCTCGGCTCTGTCGAATTTGGAATCCAAAGTTTGCCTCTGGTTTCTCAATCTACTAATTTCTGCTTCTTTTTCTGATAGTTCTGTCTCTAATTGTGATATTTTTAGGCGAAGGTCTCTGTTTTCGCCGGAGAGTGATTCTGATTCGTATTTTTCCGGCCGTTCACGTTCGTACGATTTGCTGCGGATGTTCGTTCCTTTTGACGCTTGCCTTTCTAACGAACGGTTTTCTGTTTCTAGTTGTCTGACCTGTTAAAACATGAATAAATATGAAGCAATTGGTATAAACATTAACATTAATTATTACCTTGTTATTAAGGGACTCAATTTTCGTCCTTAGATCATTTCTTTCCCGTTGCACCGAATGCAGTTGGTTTTTCAGTTCTTCTTCGTGATGTGAACATACTCCGGTATCGGAAGGCCATTGCGCCAATCTCAGCTGAGACTCCAAACCGGATCGTTGCACCTCGTTATTGGCTAATTCATTGTTTAGCCTCGCCACCTGATCTTGCAGGATCTGGTTGTTCCTTCTCATCTCGGCCAAATTTTGTTGGGTTGATTCAAAGCGTTCGGTGATGACTCTACGCTCATTCTCGCTATTGGCAAGTTGTTTTTGTAACTAAAACACATTTAAATATTGTTAAAATAAAATAAAATTTTAAAGATTCAAGAAATAGAAAGAAGATTGTAACGTTTTTCACACTCTGTATATCATAAAAATTTCCTTAAAGGTTTTAATTTGCGCCTGACAAATCTTCGAAAGAAAGAGAAACACTTTTAGAATTGCGTCTCAAATTTACCTGTTTTTTGGATCCTCGCTTTAGGAGCAGGGAGAGGAATTTTGGATGCTAGCAGCGAAGAAACCGAAGGGATTCCGTTTAAGTCGCCTGGGGGTCAAGTTGCGCCGGGAATTTTCCGGTACGAGCGATATATATATATATATATATATATATATATATATATAATATATATATATATATATATATATATATATATATATATATATAGAGAGAGAGAGAGAGAAATATATTATGGTTTCTTTAGTTTGCGATGTATCTCTTGGTCACAAGATGACAGCTGCCTGTTTATGGGAGAGGAGCTGAAACGGTGTCTCAAAACAGTTGAAAGCCGGTTGGTTGCATTGTAAATATCCTTAATCCTGAAGTTCTTCGTTTAACTTAATTTCAAGACAACACAAGACAACTTCCCCTTGTGTTATTTTTACTTTACCCAAAATAATATACAATTTTTGGGTCTCGTTTTTCTCATGCAGATTTGTTTTTCAAGTTATAAGATTTGTTGGAAACATTTGGATATATGAGCCAATAACCAGACCAAATTTTAGAATATAGGAGCTGATTTTGATTCTACCAGGCACTATCTAGACTATAGGACTTCTTGGTGGAGTTTAATGAAAGGACAGGTGTCTTACAAAGCTCTCAAGACCAAGTGCCAGTAAAGTGTAGGGTCTCGTCTAAGATAAGAAAAAGAAGACGAACCAATAAAGAACTCAAAAAGCTAGTTAACATCTAAAGATACATTAATATCCGGACGACCCAGATTTGATACAGATTTTTCAATTTCCTATTTAACTTTGCCTCCATCGTAATCCGAAGAAGACGCAAAGCTCTCAGTCTGTAGTCAACCTATGTAAGAAGTCGTTAACACTAAAATATAAGCCAGGTTACACGAATGGAAATCTAACCCAATTTAGCTTTAATACAACAATAATTTGTAAAAAACCTCTACAATACAAAACAGAAACCAACCCAAGAAATCCTTAAGCAACTACAAATAAAAATAAAAAATGTTAATTCCGACTTACAACCAGAAATCAGTAAGAACGAGATAAGAAGAGCACTTAAAGAGATGAAGAATAATAAATCGGCAGGAAAAGACTGTAGAAATGCTAAAACATGGTGGGAAAACAACTAGAGAAGTTTTGTACATACTTATGAATAAAATACTAATGACAAAACAAATACCCAACGGTTGGAACGAAGCAATAACACTGTTACTATTTAAGAAAGGAGATAAAAAGGATCTAAAGAATTACAGACCCATAACTTTACTAAATGTGATGTACAAACTATTAACCAAAATATTAACAAATAGATTAACAACTAAATTAGATGGATACCAGGCAAGAGAACAAGCCGGATTTAAAAAGAGCTTCAGTACAAGTGACTACCTTTTAACGATGAAGATTTTAATCGAACAAACTAACGAATATCATATCCCGCTATATTGACTTCGAGAAGGCATTTGATATTGTGGAACACTGGGCAGTACAGAATTCCCTACAAAACAGCAGAATAGACTACCGATATACCGACTTAATTACAAATATATACAACAAGGCAACAACAACTATTAAGCTAATGAAACAAACGGAGCCTATTAAAATAAACCGAGGAGTAAGACAAGGAGATATCATCTCGCCCAAGCTATTCAACCAAGCGCTAGAAGATGTTTTCAAACGACTACACTGGGATGGCTTGGGAATTAACATAAACGGGCAAAATCCGAATCATTTACCATATGCTGATGATATTGTGTTATTAACAGAAAAAAGTGAAGAATTACAAAGAATGATGGAAGAACTAGATAGAGAATTGTCAAAAATTGGACTCAAGATGAATTACAGTAAAACAAAAACCATAACTAATCAACCAGAAGAACTAATAATTACAGTGGCACAAACAAGAATAGAACAAGTAAAAGAGTATATATATATATATATATATATATAGTAGTTTTGCGTTTCTTGAACTGTATTATATTTAATATAAAATTAATGTTTCTTGGGTTTAGGTTCAATAAAGATATGTTACATGTAGAACTAGATTATATATTATAAAATAATTATATACTAATGACAGTAAACAATGAGATATCAGATATCAACTTTTATATGTCAGTTCGTTAATGTCTGTGTCACGTTTTACGTTTTGGTAAGTCATATATATATATATATATATATATATATATATATATATTATATATATATATATATATATATATATATAAATATATATATATATATATATATATATATATATATATATATATATACATATTTTAAAATATCTGTTTGTCCTTATATATATATATACACATTTTAGAATCTTGACAAAGGCAAGGGTTTCCTGCCGAAACGTTGATTGATTGCAATGGAAAATAAAATCTAGTTCCACATGTAACATATCTTTATTGAACCTAAACCCAAGAAACATTAATTTTATATTAAATATATATATATATATATATATATATATATATATATATATATATATATATCTAGGCCAAATCACTAAATTAAATAAAGAAAATCAGACCGAAGAAATAAAGAGAAGAATAAGATTGGCCTGGGCATCATTCGGACACTGTCTTATATTCTAAAGAATTCAAAATACCCCCAATACCTAAAAACGAGAGTCTTCAATCAATGTATACTCCCTGTCCTCACATATGGCTCTCAGACATGGACGTATACAAAGGAAAATATGGAAAAAATAGCAAAGACAGAAAGATCCATGGAAAGACAAATGCTGAACATTAAACTATCAGACAGAAAAAGAAACGAATGGATCCGTAATAAAACAAAAGTGACAGATGTCTCAACCCAAGTAGCAAAGCTTAAATGGAAGTTCGCCGGACACACTCTCCAGCAAAAAGATGAAAGATGGACTAAGACAATTATACATTGGAGACCATGGAATCACAAACGAAAAAGAGGAAGGCCACAAATGCGATGGTCAGATGACCTGAAGAAACACGCCGGGTAAAAATGGATGCAAATTGCCCAAGATAGAGAGGCAAGGAAGAAGGAGGAGGAGGCCTATATCCAAGAATGGATGTTTAGGGCTGTATAGATAGATAGATAGATACAACAATAATTTTATGTCTTATAGTATTAAGGTAAATTTCGGTTGCGAAAACCAAATTGTGTATCATTATCATTAACGTCTATGTCCAGTTTGTGATATATTCGGTTATGGATGACTTTAAGTATTAACTTTAGCAAATGAGACATCAAGCTAATGGTGCGATAATCGCTGCATTCTCTCGTGTTTTTCTTTTTTGGGAGACAAATAAAAATCGATGTTAACCACTCTTTGGGTAATACGCCTAAACTATAAATTTGGTTCAAGAGTCTCACTAAAACATCAACGTGCTTCTCATCTAGAATTTTTAGGATTTCTATAGGAAACATGTCAGGTCCAGGGCTTTTCCGACTCTTCATTGTTTTTAATGCGTGTAATATTTCTTCTTTTGTAATATATGGACATATTTTTTTTTATGATAGATGCTAACTGGCGGGCTAGTCCGGGCCTGATAGAGGTCAGAATAGCTATGAACAAATGAGGCGCTCCGAGGAAAAAGGGCGAATACGCCAGTTACAGTTTTTTTTTAATGCAATGGATAGCCTGATCATTATTCGAACAATGTACCACCATAACATGGTTTATTCGTCCTTTCTATTCAGAACTATAATAGGTTGACTTAACGGAAGCAAACTGTATGAATCTTAAAAAGTATGGTAAATGTTCCGTGGAACAACGGCGAATACGCCACCGCTACGTCGGTACACAGCTAGCCCTCCCACTTCTGTCTTGCCAAATTTCTGAATAAAATTTCCGTGATTTCCGTCTTATTTTTACCGTTTTAAGCTACAGTGTCGTTTTGCTTGTCAAAACAAGTAGTTTTTATTTTGATTAGTTTGAATAGTTTGAGTTACTTTACTAATAAAGTTAAAATTTTACTGCTACAATGTCAGAAAGCGAGTTTACAGAAGACCAAAACAAAGGCTACACTAGAAAAAGGTCGAAAACTGAAGACACGTGGCAAAAGAATGTGAATAAAGTTAAAAGAAACTCAGGTGAAGAATACAGCACCATTAAAAACAGAAAACTTGTGCCTAAGCGGACTGTGGGAAGTCCCTGTTCCTGTGGATGTTTTGAGAAAGTAGGTTTGGAGAAAATTAGTATAATTTTTAAAAAGTTTTAGGAATTATCTGAGTATAACCTACAAAACACTTACTTATCTAAAAGAGTGAAATCTGTTTCTGTCAACCGTTGTCGCATTAAAAATCGACCTAGTCGAAAGTTACGTAGTATTGAGTACAGTGTACTTTTTGAAAGCAATGAATTTAAAGTCTGCAGAAAAGCATTCTATGCGATTCATGGTGTCACTGAAAAGAGGGTTCGAACTGTTTTGAATAAAGTATCCACAAGTGGCACTGTAGAATTGGACAGAAGAGGAAATAAAAATCCAGTTAACAAAGTAAGTGTAGAAATGAAAGAAACGTAATGTTACATGTAAATAGTTTACCCAAATGTTCAAGCCATTACAGCAAAGCAAAAAGCCCTTACCGAAAGTACCTTTCCACAGACTTAAACATAAACAAGTTGTATGACCTGTACTGTGAGTGGATGACAGAAAATCACCCTTTAATTGAACCTGTCAGCTCACGGTTCTATCGTGACACATTTAATAAAAAATTCAATATTGGTTTCAACCCTCCTAAGTCGGATACTTGTAATTTTTGTGACAAACAGATATGGAACTTTCAAATTGTGATGATTTACAACGTAACCAATTACAAGTTGCCAAGGAACTTCATTTAAGACGAGCCAAAGCAGTTCAAAAATACTTAAAAGTTATAAAAGTAATAATGAAGACTCAGTTTCAGCAATTTGTATAGATCTGCAGCAAACTCTCCATACCCCTAAACTGACGACATCTGTACAGTATTACAAAAGGAAGCTTTGGACCTACAATTTTGCAGTCCATGATGTTAAATCTGGAAAATGTGTTATGTACATGTGGAATGAAAGTACTGGAGGTCGTGGTTCATGTGAAATAGCAAGCTGCTTGTCCCATTACTTTGATTCTATGGATCATCAAGTCAAAAAAGTTGTGCTATTTAGTGACAATTGTGGCGGCCAGAACAAAAATATGAACATTGTTTTAGCTTGTTTGAAAAAAATTCATGAATTAAAATTTGATTTCATAGAACATTACTTTATGATTCCTGGACATTCATATTTACCTTGTGACAGGGATTTTGGTCACATTGAGTTAAGGCTTCGAAATATTGATGTTTATTCTGAAGACCACTATATTGACTTAATTCGTTCATCAAGGAAGGTCAGACCATTCAAAGTAGTAAAAATGACATCATCAATGTTTTTTGATTTCACTGCTCTTCAGAAGTTAATTACAAAAAGAAAATCAACTGCTAGTTTTAAAGATGGTAAAGTATTTCTTTACTCCAAGTTGTTCAAACAAGGGTTTTCCATACAACCAACGTACCAAAATGTTTTGTCCGAACAAGTTGTTTTGCAGAAAGGAAAAGTAGGAGAATATCAACGCCATTTGTTTGATTTATCTGCCGCAGTTTTGTCTCCTAAATACCAACAGCCTATAAAACTTTCAGAGGAAAAAATAAAAGACATCAAGTCACTTCTTCCATACATACCGCTTCATCATAGGAGTTTCTTTGATGAGCTGATCTCTCTCCAAGAATCACAAACCAATTTGGCAACGCTAACTGGAGAAAGTCAGGATGATGTTATGGATTTTTGCTTGAATTAATAATTTATTGTTTGGTGTTTTTTTAGTTTTTGATTTATCTTAAACAGAACAATTTTTAATTAAAAAATGTTTTTCATATCATATCCTTTGAATAAAACTTTTTTCAATATCCTGAATTATAATTTTGGTTTAGATGGGGTGATCTTATTTGCTTAACAAGCAAAACTTTTTATAAAAAAAATAGTTTTTACCTAACCGCATTACAAAATTTTGATGACGTGTATATTCGCCCTTATTGAATTAAAAACACTTTTTCAACTTTAATCGCGTTTTTCTCAAAATGCCCATTTGGCGTATTCGCCGTTTGTCCACAGAGCGCCTCAAATGAATGAGTACATCTATAAAGGATTACTCAAATAAAAAATTTATAAAAAACATAGCTTTCTGTAGAAAAATTGTAGAATCAAATACATAAATTAAAGAAAATCGATTCAGACCATTCGCGTAATAAAAGTATAATAAATAATATTTATAAAGTAGTTATAAAGTGAAGAAAAGCAATCTTGAACACCTACCTGTTTTAGTCGTTCAGCTCCTGTATGAGACGCTGAAGTACTATCCATGAGAGCTCTCTGTAAACTCTGCATTTCTCCCTTTAATTCAGACTCGCCGACAGATGCTTTTTCTAGTGATAATGTCATCTGATCTATGGTTGATTTTAAAGAGACACATCTTTCTTCCAAACTGGCTATAGTTCGACTTTGTCGATCACATTTTTCTTGAAGTTTCTGGAAAAATAAAGTAAAATCCATTTTTTTTTAATAAAAATGTTGACTAATTGAAATTTATTTATAACTAAAATATTATTTGTATCAACAATGTTTATCAGTATATTCCGGATGTAATAACCACTGTTTAGATTTATATACAGGGTAGATTTAGATAGAAAATATAAGTAGCTATTGGGAATAAAATATTTGAAGATCGCGTGAATTTTTTGTGGAAGAAGTTCTTTAAACAATACAGCAAAACAGTTTGTAAAAAAATGGGGGATAAAAAAGAAAATTTGCAAGCTAAAACTACCAAAATTACGCTTGAAGTGGCTGATAGTTGGATCAAGTCTGAATAAAGGAGGAGGGTTATAGAGACAGGTCAGATCCCTGTCATACGTAAAACATGGGAGCTAAAACAACTAATCAAAAGCATCAAACTAAACAAACCATTTTAAGATGGACAAAGCTACAAAAAAGGATTTCGAATCATATAAAATAAATAAATCTGTCTGTTATAGAAAATAAATGAAGTGAAAAATGAAGAATAAAAACTGAAATTGAAATTTCCTTCCAAACACAGAACAAGGTTTAGTAAGTTCGAACAAATATGAGCATTTCTTTAACGGAGAACCTTAAGCAAATAAAGCGAAACAAGAGTATCAATCACTATACATGGAAGAGCTTAATCACTCTTTAAGTACCAGCAAAAAATCGGCGCCAGGACCGGACGATATTCCTGTTAGTTTCTTTCAAAATCTACCAGATAGTGGAAAAAAATATCTTCTTAACCTATACAACAGAATTTGGACAAATAATGAGTTTCCACTACTTAAACCAAATAAATCACGACTGATCTTAATTCATATAGGCCAATTTCTCTCATCAAAACAATGTACAAAATCTTAGAAAAAATGGTGAATTATAGACTAAGATGATTTTTGGAAAATAATAAATTAATAATCAGTAAACAAAGTAGTTTTCGCAGGAACAGATCCACCATTGATAATTTAATAGATCTGGAGTCCGAAATACATAAATCATTTGCAATTAGGCAGGAATGTCTTGCTGCCTTTTTCGATATAATAAAAGCGTTTGACATGGTTTGAAAATACGACATTCTTAAAACACTTAGTCATTGGAGTGTCGAAGGTAACATGCTATATTTTATTCATAATTTTCTTATCAAGAGACAATTTAAAGTTAAGATAAATGGTACAATATCCAGCACTAAAGATCAAACAAATTGAGCACCTCAAAGATCCGTTATTAGTTCAACACTATTCTTAGTAGAGATAAATAAAATCTTCCAAAACTTGTTAAGGCGAAATTATACGCTGATAATTTGGTTATATATTCAAGAGGAAAGAACATTCTTTCTATACAGAAAAACTTACAATGTGCAATAAATCACGTTGAAAACTGGTCAAAAGCTGTGGGGTTGCAATTTTCTACAACCAAAACCAAATGTATTTTATTTTCAAAAAAAAACGGCACTCTATAAATCCAGATCTTCAGTTATATGGAAACAACTTAACTTATAAGAAACTGTTTTGGAAATAGGTACCATATTATGCAAATTAAGCAATCTTGTCAATCTGGTCTTAATTTAATGCTTACACTATGCAATCGTAATTGGGGCTCAGATTTTAAAAGTCTGGTTCATATTTACAAATCATTAGTACGACCAAAACTCGGTTATGGATCAGTTGTATATTTATCTGCAAAGAAGACTCTTCTTGTCCAACTAGAAGTCATACAAAATACAGCACTAATAATGGCCACAGGAGTATTTTGTACTAGCCCCATTAAAAGTCTACAATGTTTAACCGGGGAACCACCTTTAAATTTTAGAAAAATGTATTTATCATTAACACACTCATTATCCATATGTGCGATAAAATACTATCGCTGAACGTTTCAAAGAAACTTATATAAATAAAAAAAGGACGAACCCTCCCTTTTACGAAAGAATCAGAAGATATTTCTCTCTTCATAATATTCAATTATGAATCAATTATGATCAGACAAATACAGTCACACCTCCTCCCTGGACCTTTCCTCCTGCAGTATATGACCTAACTCTTTGTAAATTCAATAAGCTTGAGGCCACCCATACAACAATTATTCAATCATTTTACAAAATACTTGTTTCTTTCCCAGATTATTCGAACAGGGAATGACAGTTTAAATTATCTTCCAGTTGCAGTATTTACTCTGGAGAACTATACTCAATTCTGCAAGCCCTCATTTATATATATACCCAAAACATTTCAAATTCTGTCATAATTACCGAGTGCATTATATACGATAGAACAGGTAGTTTAATACAAGACCAATTACATTTGCTAAACAACGCGAGGCAGCAAGTACGCTCTGTATGAGTTCCATCACATATTGGACTTCAAGGAAACAAACAAGCTGATTTCCATGCCAGGGAAGCAATATACAGTGCCTCTTCAGTAGAGGTGTGCTTATTAGTTCTTTTAGACGAACTAGTTCAACAGAACTATTTCACAAAAATGAACTAGTTCAGTGAACTAGTTCGCGAAAGAACAATTTGTAGAATCGACATCGAAATCCAACCCTAACAGAACTGGTTGCCAGATGTCTCGTCTCAATCATCACACAAGCTCGGCGCTAGCCGCCCGTTTTCTTTGTCTTTCACTAGTTCACTTAGTTCACTACCGTACAAGTAGTTCGGAACTATTTCTTTTGATCGTATGTTTAGGTTTAAATGATTTAAATTATTATATGATTAGTTAGTTTTTATTTGCAAAAAAATTATTAAGATTTGTTTTTATTAACCGTTTTAAATATAAATATGGTTCAAGTATGATTTATTTTTATATTTACGTATATTTAAACTCATAGGTATTTGTAGTTAAGTTATTTCTAAAAGTACCTTTACAAAAAAAATCAGTGAATTTTCTAGGAACATTAAATAATACATTTTCATTCTCACTTTTACATAACATTATATTTTATGTAAATGCCTCAATGATTTTAACCACAACTAAAATTTTTATTTCAAAATTACAAGACAAGAAACAACACAGCATGGAAACATCCAAGCCAATACATGGGCATAAGATCCGAACCATTATGACATTAAGATAAGACTTAATGTTATTGTCACATTCATATGAATCTGTTATCTGAGGCTAACCGGCATTTTTTTTAAACTAGTTAATCCATCCATTCACAAAATAATAAATATATGTTCTAATTTATTCATTCATTATTTTCCTCTTTAGAAGTTGAGACATAATTTATAATGCAAATCGTTCGCAGTGAACTAGTTCTATGAAAATTAATGAACTAGTTCAATTAGTTCAGTTGAAAGAATCGTTCATTAGAACTATTTCGATGGTGAACTACACATCTCTACTCTTCAGTTGTTTCCGACTACAAATCCTTAAAGAAAAAGTGACAAATAAATGAAAAACGAATGTAATCATTCACAATCGACTCTACCCATCGTAAAGCCCTCAACCGAATCTTGATGCGAGATAAATTTAAATCGTCAGCTGTTCGTTATCTTTAAATAACTACTTACCCATGTGGGATGTAAATAAGTGTACCTTAATTGGCCTCCAAGTAAATGTGGACAAAAGGAACATCAAGTCTGTATTGGAACAGAGTGTGCCGAAGGCTTGGTGCAGGGTAAAATCTAAGTTGCGGGGTTAAAGTGTTGTTTAGTAGCTACTATATTGAATGAGTTGTATGCATCCATTGCCTAACTTCTTGTGGGTGAAGAATAAGCAAAGAACAAACAAATAAAGCAAGATGAAGGGGAAAAACGCAGCAAAATCTTCTAGAAACTATCGAACAAACCATTACTGCAAATTAGTTAAGAAAACCGCGATGAAACTCGGCAAATGCAGAGGAGAATCCAGCAAGTGCGCAAGAGAGGTGCAGCGAGACCTGTTGAAGTAAGTCTTGAACCCAAAGAAGACTCGATAGCAGGAGCTAAATATAGATGCATGATATACAACAATGATAGTTAAGGTCCTGGTATGGAGACGGATATCAATTGATCTACAATCTACAACCTGGAAGAAGAATCACAGTAGATATATATTCTAGCTATCACTTTATCACTGGTTATACAATCTGATCAAATTAGACTTAGATATATTTAAAACGTTTCTATCTAGAAGACAAACCTGAATATTCGCGTCCTTTTCTTGTAACATCATTTGCAGCCTTTGTAGATCGCCTTCTGCAGACATTCGTTGTAACTCTAATTTCGTCGATCTGTTTTCTGTTCTGTTTAGTTCTTCTTGAAGACTTCGTTTCTCTGCTTCCAGTCGATCAATTGCTACTTTCATTTTATCCATTTTATCCTAAAAAAAAAATTAAATATACTTACTGCAAACAATACAGACCGACTGTCACACATAATGTGTATATTTGAGGGTATATGTCTTTTTAGCACAAAATAAGTGACAAAATAAAAGAAACACCAAGAATCATGAAGACTTCATGAATTGTGTAGAGAATACACATTGTCCAAATTGAATATCTAAAAAATAATAGAAAAACAAAACAATAAAGACAAACATATACATAAACAAAACAACAAACGACCAGATAAAAATAATCCTGACACAGGTAGAAAGGGCAATCAAAACACTAAAGACAAAGAATCAAGAGTTTCCAATTGAATATCAAACCAAGTCATTACGAATGGAATGGAGAAATTAATCCTCACGAGACATAAAATGTTCAAGAAGATTTTCCGACCAAATGGACACAAACATTTATTACATCCATAATTATATGAAAGGGAATAGAAAAAAAAATCGAGAAATACCAAGGAATCAGTGCAATACCATCTATGGTACCTAATATTATGTATGGAATCAGTGTAATATCATTGGGAATTGGGAAGGAAGCAGTAGGTACTTTAAATTACAGAAAAATCTTAAGACGCCCAGTAGAGTAATGTAGATACCTTTGAGACATCAAAACAGCAAACAAAAAAGCTCTAAAAGTGTAGTATTATAGTTACATACTTAATCATGCGATTAGTTTTAGGAAACTTTGCCTTCATTGGTTGTGGGGTGAACTAAGTAGCTCTACACCGAATGCAGCCGGTCTTAGGCTCAGATAAAAGAGGAATGATAGACGATTAACACCTATAAAAACTAGTATTCAAAGTGAATAGACGCCTGTTAGTGCCTCTTGTCTAGGATTATAAATGAAGACTAAAACAGCGATGAAGGCGGAAAAGAAGAATATTTCGGTCAAATAACCATACTTTCGATTTTAAAAATATACGGATTTTAGAAAGAGAGTCAAATAATCAAAGCTATATATTGAAGATGATTCATATTAAAAAACAAACAACCTGTATCAATAATAAAACTAATAATACAGACCTCTACGATATAATATATTAGAAAAAATCGCCTGATTTTCTATTGCTTTAGTCTTAGATATCAATAGTGTAGAATTTTTAAATTCTTTTGTATATATTGAAATCCCCTCGTGTATGTTAAAACACCGAAGAATATTTTCAATGTATTTCTATTTCCTATTGTACGTAATAAAACACCGAAATATATTTTCAATCCTTTTTGCGTCGACGAGTTGATAATAAATTCATTTTTAAAGATTGTTTATATATCACAGACGCATATTTCTTCGGTATTCTTTGATCGTTAAGTAATTCGTAAATATTCCCGTTTGTATGTTTTGTTTATACCAAGTTGGGCTAATGAATTTTAAAGATAATTACATCACTCTCCGCAAAGCCGCTATCAAGGGCAATTGGTTTCATTGCAGTCCGAATTTTACTTCAAATTGTCAGTGTTAAGTTTTATGTGAAGTTAAAATAAGGTTTGGAAGAGAGGTCATGGCATCGAGCAATAAGACAAAAGAGGAATGTAAAGGTAGTGGGGGTAAACATATTGATAGACAGGAAGTGCTATTTTTAGAAGCCACTTTAAACAAGGAAAGAGAATCTCTTTCCTTGTTTAAGAAATCAAATTTAATTGGGTTATGTTATTGTTGATGTTATTGTTTGTCAAAACTGTCACGTGAAAGCTTATTTATATTTATATTGATGTTTTTTAACAATTGTTTAACATTTTAGACTATTATCGTTATTAATTAATTAAAACTTTATTGTGTTCTAGTTTTAAAAAAGGTATTTTAATAAATAATTTTAATAAATAAATAGATAAATATATAATATAAAATATTATGTAATATAAAATAAATAAATAGATAAATTAGAACCCCTACACCACTGTATGATTATTGTCAAGTGTCATGAAATTAAAATTTGGCGCATTTGCATTTCCGGATATGTCCGCCATCAGAGGCCACTTTTTTGGTCTCCTTTTCATAACGATTAGATTCCCTCTTTTGTCTTATTGCTCGATGGGTCATGGAGAGCAGACGACAGCATGTGTAGTTTGAACGAACCGTCAAATTTGTTAGAAAAAGTGATTTAAACACAATGTAATGTGTCAGTTCTCAAAGAATAATCACTGTTTTTATTTCTATGCCGTCTCTCATCTGAGATAATTGTAAAACGGCGTTTAAAACAACTTTACCAGATAACAACATGTGTTCCAGTTTTTTGTAAACATGTGCAACTTCCTGCCTCATTTTGTCTGTTTAAAGTCATTCTAGGCTAATTCGCAGTGTGAGATGCAGTTTTTTGCGTGGCAGTAAATCTCCAGTGAAGTCCAGTTCCTAACCCCAGAAATTTTAAAGAAATTTTAGTGAAATCCAGGTAACTTTTTTTGTTGAACTTTTAAAGGAAAAATAAAAATATTCTAATAATAATTGATTTCATAACAGTTTAAGAAATTGTAACAATTAAAATTGTAGATGTTAGGTTGTGGCCTACCTGTCATATTAATTGTTCTCAGTTTTAAAATTCAATATTGACATCTGACAGCTAGTTTTATTTTTTGACATTAGTTTGTTTTTGATTTTTTTTTTAAAAGGTCTTAAAAAGGTCTTTTATTAACCTCTATGCATAGTTTCATTTAAAAAGATATTTTTCATTTCCAATTTTTTCCGTTACAATTTATCGCCCATTAACAATTGTAAGTTTTTTGTAGTATCTAAAACTTCTAAACTTCTAAGAGTTTTTAAACCCATAGTAAAATAGTAAGTTTGTTTTTGATATTTGGTATTTTATTTTTACTGTTTATAGTTGTAACTGTTTGTGGTGAGACAGCAATAAATATTTAATTTTTCCCTAAACCAAGTTGTTATTATTTTTTTAAAGTTTCTAACCTCTTTTGTGTTTTTAGGAAGGAGGAGCCTTTTCTGTCATCCAGGAGGAAGATTCTTCAAAGCGGAGTCCTTATTTTAAATAGCTTGAGAACCTTCTTGTGTTTTGTTTGTCCAGGAGGCTCATGTAATTACCCCTTTGTTTTATTTTTGTAGTTGCCCCAATCCATTCCCTTGTAATTCACATATCCACGATCCAGTTCTCCAAATAAACCCTGAGTAGCCGTTCGCAACAGTTCCGTTTTATTTTGCTTGCCCTATCTTCACCCCAGTAATTTCTGTCCACATTTTTCACCCCCTTATAGTAATACCCTATGTGGTAGGCAAAATAATCATTACAATAGTAGGTATAAGATATAGTGTAATTTCGAAAGACTGCTGTATAATAGAATCAGCAAAACCATATCCCAACACTTACCAGTGGAACAGTCAGGATTTCGGCCAAACCGCAGCTGCACAGACCAGGTACTCGCCCTGACCAATTATGCGGAATCAAACTTTCAAAAGCAATCAAAAACAACCGCTGTCTTCATCGATCTATCTGCTGCTTATGACACTGTGTGGCGACAAGGGACAATATATAAATTAACGCGAATAATCCCACGCAGAAAGACCACTGAGGTTATTAACGCCATGCTATCCAACAGATTCTTTCAAGTTATATTGGGAGACAAGACTAGTACCCAAAGAAAACTGAATAATGTACTTATTATGGCTGACTGGGGAGCCAGCACGGACAAGGATCCGTGCTGGCTCCCATGCTTTTCAGCCTCTACATAGCAGACATGCCAGAAACCACATCAAAAAAGTTTGGATACGCAGACGACTGGACGCTTGCCGCAAGTCATAAAGAATTCGAGGTCACTGAACGCATTCTAACAAACGATTTAAATGCCCTAGATAATTATTTCCGCAAATGGAGATTGCAACCCAATCCAACTAAGACAGAAGTGTCCTGCTTCCATTTGTACAACAAGATGGCCAACTATCAACCTCAAATCAATTTTGGACAGTCTTTACTAAGACTGCTGCAAAACTCCGAACTCGTAACAACATCCTGCAAAAGCTCTGCGGCACTACATGGGGCTCCTCAGCACCCACACTTAGATCGACAGCATTAGGACTGGTATACCCCGTAGCGGAATACTGTGCACCAGTATTGATAAACAGTCCACATACTCACCGTGTTGATGTCCAACTCAACCAAGCCATGCGAACTATATCGGGCACAATCAAGGCCACGCCCACTTACTGGTTACCAGCTTTGAGTCATATAGCTCCACCATCCATCCGCCGGGAACATACCCTTGTCAGAGAATTTACAAAAATCAATACTGATCCTAAGCTCCGCTCCCATGTCGGAACTTCCGCCAGAGACATAAATAGGCTCCGTTCAAGACACCCGCCTCTAAAAACATCAAAAAGGCTAGTAGATCAACTACTAGCTACTAGGCTACTTTAATGTAACTGAACGGTGGAGAGAACAATGGGAGAATAACGCTGCACCAGCTAACTGGAACATGCCATGTATTACAAGCAAACCTGAGGGCTTCAACCAACCGAGACGAATTTGGACCACACTCAATAGAATAAGGACGAACTGTGGCAGATGTTCCGACTTACTTTTTAGATGGGGAAAAATACAATCACCAAATTGCTACTGCGGCGCCGAAAGGCAAACAGTAAAACACATGGTAGAGGAACGCCCGATTAGATCCTATAACGGCAACCCTTCAGATTTCCTGGCTGCTACAAAAGAGTCAATCGAATATATTTATAATCTAGATGTTTGTTTGTAGAATAATATTTTTGTATTTACTGTTGTTTGTAATTTATATAATTTATATTATATGTATATATACATATATATATGAACCTGTGATGTAGCCATACGCTAAATAAATAAATAAATAGTGTAAGTTATAAATATTAAAGGGTTCATAGAAAATGACAGTTCGCCAAAATATTTGAACAATAAAACAATGTTTTATTAATTACAAACCGGTAAACCAAGGAAATTCAGATAATATACACACATACACACACAGACACACACATACCTATATATACACAAAATAAAACTTACCTCATATTGTAATCGTTGTTCGTTGCCACTGCTTAAGCTCAGTTCGAGGCTCACAACTCGTTCCCTCATCTCTTTCGCTTCTTCCGATTTCTTTTGAAGCGCGTTGTTCTAAACACATAAAAATTAAATACAAATAACTACATTTGATCCACAATTTTTGTCAGTTCAGAATCAAGTATACTCTATTAGTCACAAATAAACACAGTGTGGAAAATAAACTAAATACGAGGGATTCTAAAGTCATAATTAGTTAACTGTTATGATTGAATATATTTAACAAGAAAGTCAAATCGTTGCATTTAAAGCCTAGGCCTAGGCAGATCGAAAGGCTTGGATTGAGACTTTAAACTGATGTCTTTAAACAAGTCGTCTTGATACTGGGAGACCAAGCTCTGTCATATATTAATATCAGGAATGACAGCGTGGAGAGTAAGTACTGTAGAGGGATAAATGCAGTAGCAGTGACAGTATTATTCAGGACTGTTACAGGAATTTAGAAACTATCTCTTTCTTATCGTTTTCCCATTACTGAGGATCATGATTTTCTCCAATGCTGGTAACAAATTTTCTCGATTGATCTCTATCATCAGCTGCTCTAAGAGTTTTGCAGAATTCTGAATTTTGGCGGACTAGCGACAGCAGATCGATAAAACGAAGAACCGAATGAAGCACCATAGGAAGGAGAAAAAGAGAACGACCCCGAAGATCCTGGAGGAGCGAAGTAGACAACGCCATGAGTAAGAGAGGCCTAACCAATGGAGAATGGGACAGCAGAGACAGATAGAAACGGTTGAGCGAGTGAAGGCAGTGAATACTGTAGAATCTCTGAATATATATAATATATATCTCGTATTGCAATACATAGTGGTACGAAAACCTGTACAGAAAACGACCGGATGAATGACCTACAATTTCCTGGAACCTGGAACACTGGCGGTCGTCATTCGAATTATATAGAAGGCAGTGGTGTTGGACTTCTGCTAGACTAATCCAACCGATTTTCCATGATACACTTTCACTTACACCTTCTAGGTCGCCAGATTTGAATCTCATGGACTTTTCTATTAGGAGATATTTAAAAAGTAAGGTATATGTAAACCGACCCACTAATTTGGTAGATCTCAAACAGAGAATTCGTACTGATACAAATTATACCAATGATGTTGTCAAACATAACCCAAGAATTCATTGGACGTCTTAGATACTGTCAATTAAACTGAGGAGCTCAATTCGAGCATTTGTTGTAGTTGCGTTATTTGTTTGTCTTGAATATGAAATGACTTCTTTAAAAATTTTCTTTGTAAAATAAATTTTGAATTAAATTTTAAGAAATACGAGCACTGGTTTCCTTTACACTCTGTATACTGAAGTTTGAATGTGATGAATTTAGTACGGTTGTACTGAGAAAAATACTTATGACGTCACATCTGCTAAGGTAGTGGGAGTAAAAGCTTTTGTTTCCAGAAAGGTTAAAAAACAAAAATAAAAACGACCTGTCAGAGCTTTAACTCTGGAAATAATTAACTCATGAGATAATAGACCGTTTCCAGACTTTACGAATGCACTGTAGAATTATATATTATAATAGAATTATTTTGTAATACCTGAGCTTGAAGTTCGGTATTCTTCTGCCCCAATTTCGCTTCCAGGCCACTCTTTTCCTCTTGCAACGATCTGACGTTCTGTAATACTTTCGTCAGTTTATTATCTCCTTTACTCATACCTTCTTGTGCCTCTTGCAGTTGCTTTTTGGTTATCTGTACTTGGGTTTTGTAATCATCCTAGAAAAATTAACCATTTGAGTGGTTTAGTAGCGATTTAAGATAATTAACTTACTCGTTCTCTTTCGATTTGCGCTACTTGTTGCATCAAACTTCTTACTCCTTTTCTTACAACTTCAGGGTCTACGTCTATTGTTCCGTCTCGACCATCATCGTATGCTAAAAATAAGTTATTTATGAGAAATAATGCAAAATATACAAGCAGATTAGATCAGATTACTATATTAGAGAAGATATTCCCATGTAGTTGTAAAGGAAGTTCTTTGATGAATATATCCCTCAGATACAAAATTTGAAATCAAATAGTTGGGAGAAAGAAAATTCCAATGCTACCCCCTTATCAATAAAAATGTTCCAGTTCTTTGATTATATGCAAATGTACTTACATCTTGCTGGGCTCCACCTTCTAGACGGGCTGAGTAATCTGTAAGGCATAGTAACGGATCCATCTAATTGAATACCAGCGATTCTGCGAAGTGTAGAAATAATACTGCTCAATTTTTGATCGACTTCTCTCTTTGCAGAGTCCAAATGAACAAGTTGGTTCTCCAACGCTCTCACCCGACCTTCTGCACCACCGAGTTTGGCCTTTAAAGTGAAAAGTTGTATTAGAACAAAAAAAAAAAAAAAAAATTAAATTGTAAAATTGAAACGTAAAACAAATGAGACAGGGTTAAATTACAGAGTGTAACGATATTTAGTTTTTTCCAATACTATATACTCAATATTCAAGATACCAGATGTTTTTTTTATTAATTTCTTTAGCTTCCTACTAATTCTTTTTTAATATTTAAATATCTTCGCATGGCTTTTGGGAAGTGCCGACAGAAGTGACTACTTTTTATCGCGCGTTATAAATATATGTGGGTTAATGAAATTTTATGTCACCTTATTACGGAATTGTCAATATTTTTTATAATAAAACGTGTACCTACATTTAAGTTCTTTAAAATTTAAAAAATCTTAATTTTTTTCTTTAAAAATTTTGTTGCGCTGGGTAGAAAAGAATGAGGTTAAAGAGAATGTACAGAAATCAAAACATGTTTATTGTTTTTACATTAGAAAATCAAAAATAAATTCACTAGTTCATTAGTCATTATGTTCTTCTATACCAGGAAGTAGTCCAGCTTCGTCATTGACTTTATCAGATGATATAAAATTTATAAAAGAAGAATGGTGGACTGGAGGAATGTATGGTAGTAAATCACACATATCCCATTTTTTGGCTGGTATGACTGGTCGAGGTAATGTGTACAGGCAATCTAGTTGAAGATTTTTGAACAATGTTGGTCTTCTCTTCTGCCTGCTTCGAAGGATATTAATTGGTGAAAAGTAAAAAATCTTCATATTTAGTGTTTCTTTATAGAACAGTAAAAGTGGCTCATCTTTTTCGACTTTAATCCACTGCATTTTTAACCATGACACTGATTGGTTATCCGTATTGGTTTTTCTTTTTGTGGTTGATTTAGTGAGTTGTGTCAGATCTTTTCTAAGCATTTTTGTGAAAATGAAAGCTTTTTTGTTTTTACACCAAACTATGACTGACTGAAAACCAATCTTCAGGCACATAAATCTGTTTACCTTTAGAGTGAATTTCAATGGAACCAAAGTCTGAGTCGTTTGGTAATTAAGAGTGTCGGCTTATAATAAACTTGTGATCAACTATTTCGATACCATTATTTTCACTTTGAACTAGCTGTAACAAGGCCAAGGCAAAATTCCAGTTTCTATTTTGGCCGATGCAGCTGCCACTGTACAATACATGTTTTGAATTTTCTGCACGTAATTCTATGTGCTTTGTGACACTGATTTCCTGAGATCCGCTCGAAGCTGTTATTTCATCCCATCCATATATGTAGTCTAAGCCAGATGATAGCTCATGGCAGCCCAAGTTGGAAATGTACATATTACGTTTATAGTATGCAATAGATGTGGTTAGTTTTGGGAAAGCTAAGGCTTTCTCTAGGTGAAAAGTGAATGCACAGTAAGAATCGTCAGGTCGGCCTTTTCTGTATCATTTTTCATAGAAGTATGTGCAAGCTCGGTCTTTCTAAGATGAAATTCATGCTCTACTTCAATATGTCTTATCTCATTATCATCTTTTATTGCAGGTTTTTTAATTTGTACTTAAGCATTACACTTAGAGCACGTATCTTTTCTTTTGTGGTACATGAAAGTGAAGGTTGTAGTCATTATTGAAAGTACGGCGATAAATATCACAGGAAACGCGGACAGTGCCTTGTTCCTGACAATACCCTATACAAGCGATACAGAAGCTTAACATTAAGGTCAGAAGATATATACTTACGCTTGGGATTCTTATTCCAGTTCATACGTTCTTCAGATATTTTATTGGTTGGTATACATGGTATCGATTATCTGAACCAGGTGGTTCCCCTTGTTTGTTTTACTTCAGGTTTCTTTTGCTTGATCACACCACAAATAAAAGCGTTCTGTGCTGTAAATGCTTTCAATTTCCAGAATGATTCAAATGTTTTTTCTATCTTCACATGATATCTTCTCAAAACATTTTTTATTACAAAAATAGTTGTTGTTTCAAAAAGTTTTACCTGGCACTACTTTTTCTTTTGTTGTCTTATACTCACAACCTGAGTTGCGAAGCCACTTTCTTTTTTCTTTTTTATTTTCACCCCTCTGTCATTTTCGTGCTCTCTCGGGATGTTGAACTTCTACGTCTTCTTTATTACTTTTCCTTTTATGGTCTTGGGGAGAGACTTTCTCGTTTAAAAAAAATCTACAAGGAAAATAATTCCTGCAGCTGGCTGTATATCACGTATCACAAAAAAGAGGTTAAATTTTTGTAAATGGGTATATTTAAAAAACCCTTAAAAGGGCTACATCAAATTAACTCGAACATTTTCGGAATAATAACTCCATCATCAGGTTAAAAATGCAGGTTAACATGTCTGAGCCACCAAAATATTAGGGTAAAAACCCTTTAAAATAAATAAGGTTACTAAAGATTGTACATATTGTTGTTAATAATATTTGATGTTTAATATTTAATTATATTTTACTTCAGGTAACATACACCCATGCCTTACGTGAGTTCCAGCGTCCGGAAGAGTTTTACTCTCCGTCGTCATCCATTTTATTGAAAAATCACAACTGCAAAATACTAAATAACTGCCTTAGGAATGAGGGAATATTGGTGTAAGTTTGACTTGCACCACTACTCCCCTGGCGGTGCCCTGGCACTACAGGGATTTTGTTTGACTGTAAAGTTCGTGCTGCTATCTGTGAGCAAGAAGAGATATGACTTACACCACTGTTGCTTCTGATAGATTTGAATATGGAGATTTTAAATATGCACTTATCTCTATTGTATAATAAAAGTGACTTACACCACGGTAAGAAGTATTCACTTCAAAATCCAGTTTCATAAAAAGGATTACAAAAATAAATAACGTATTTCTTACTTTATTTAAATTACATTTTAAAGAGACTGTAATTCTAAATGTATATATTTTCCCATCTGATTAACAGCCAATAAAAAAAATTGTTTAATAAGGAAGGTATAACTTTGTTTTGAATGACGCTAATTCAATATTTGTTAAAGATAAGTGAAATTGACATCTTCAAGTACAAAAATATTTACTGAAAATATGATTTTAAACATATATGTACTTCAGAAATATTTTTTTGTAGTCTATTGTACTAATATTTTATTTTACAGACAGATGATAAATCTTAAAACTATGTTTCTCACCTTCAATTCTTGAATTTGTTGTGTGGCGTCTACTAGACACACTTCCAGATTATGTTTTTGATCTTCCAAACGTTTTTCTTTTGATTTACTATCTTCCAGATGGACTAGAAGATCTTGTTCTCTGGCGTGCCATTGTTCCTCTAACTGACCGTAATGAGATCTTGTTTTGTTTAAATCCAGACGGGTGTGATCTAAGTTGCGCTCTAATTCTGAAATCTAAAGAATCGTTTTTGTAGTACTATGAAAATTCAATAAACTAGAAAAAAGTATTGAAATCAGGAATATTGATTTCTCTGATTGATCTAACTATACGTTTATCGCTCATCGTGATGTTTCATCTTGATGTGGTGATGGGAGTTAAATCTGATATACGTTTGCAGGACAGTCACTGAATATCAAAACGCAAGGTAAACGTGTATTGTGCATAGTAGTTGCGTGTAAACTTCTATAAACTCAGAATAAATAAGAATTATGAAAATGCTATGGGATAGCATTGATATGGGATAACATTTAAAGTTAATAGAAATTTACAAAAACATCCTGAAAGTTCTGAAAGAAAATAATCTCCTGACTAAATAATCTGACTGCAGTTCACTCCCCAACCAACCCCTAGTAATTAGTGGGTGCTGTTATATATCAACATCGAACATCCAGTATAAAAGTCAGAATGTGACCAAATGTCTGAATGCATCTAAATTATTAAAACTATTGATAAACAGAGTTTTTTTTTAATAGATTACCTGTTTTCTGCACTGATGCACTTCTTGGTGTGCTCTTTCCCGTTCTTCAACCTCGTTCAATAACCTAGCCTGCAGTTCTTTTTCTTCAGTTTGCTGCTGTGAATTTGCTGCTTGAGTTCGCTGTAGTTCTTCTTGTAGCCCTTGAACCTGTAACAAAAAAGAGTTATAACAAGGACTTTATTCATCTATATTTATTTGTAACTAAAATCTGTAGTTTTAACGGAATGTTTCTAAATATTTCTGTGGTGTTTGGGAGAAACATGATAACTCCAAAATAGCGAAAAATTTGTTAAGTGCATCACTGCATTTTGTTTTTGATTTATTTTCGTTTGATCTGACTATGGTTTGTCCATCACGTCTAGAAAACGTGCCACAGCTTGGTATAATATCGATAAGTCCCTATTATTCAAATTTTGTTTGGTATAGTCCTGTTAAAATATTATATCATGTACCCGAAAATAAAACTAGACAATAACATTTTGGTTCATATCTGATAACTGGTACTTATCATGTCTAGATCAAATAATATGCAAATTATTTTGGTAATTTTGTGCTATGTCCCACTTAACATCTTTGATTCAAAGAAATATTATATTTACGTAGCATTTTCTGTAAATTTTTTATGTAACTGGTAAATAACATGTATATATCAAACTTTTCTTTTCGTTGTTTTGTACTTATCATTAGCATTTGGTCGTATTCACGAACGTATCGATCACATTGTGTTAGTGTTAAGGTTTATCTATAGCTATTAAGTTACACTTAGTCAGTAAGTCAGTTTGTCTAAATCTTTCAAAGGCGAATGACGCAGTAAATGCGATCGAGTAATTTGGCAAACATGGCTTATAATACAAGTTCTCGTATTACAAAAATAATTGAGATGTGTTTATTAGAAAATGAACAGTCGTCTTCTGTAATAATGTAAGTATTTTAATGTTTAATTTTATGTGGTAAATAATTGCTTAATTTTTGTGTACAAGAATATATAAGAATGTATAACAATACTTAGATTTGCATTTATTGTATGATTTATAATAAATTTTATATTTTTAGGTAAGCACAGGTGTTACTAGCAATATTTTGGATGACTCGTTTCTCACTAGTGTAGAACTGGCTGAATCAGCTTCATATCCAGGCCCCTCTGAAAGTAAAGAAAATAATTTGCACGTTTTAAAACCAGCACTATTTTCACCAGTAAATCTTGAAGAAAATACTCATCTGCTGAATGTATTAGCTTCTGAAGTAACTCCTGATGATGATTTTAGTTCTGGATCTAGCGATTTGTGGGAACCATCAGGTTCTGAACATGAACATGGAAACGCGGATTCCGAAGACACTCAAAACGAGTTGGATGATGTCTATCCTTTGGCGCAAATAACTGTAAAAAAAAGAAAAAAGGGCCAGGGTCCAATGCAACGGAAGTTAAGAAAAAGTCGTTCTGATAAAAAAAGAAAGGGTGAGGAATACATTACTGCTAAAGGTAAGAACATTTCAGCTAAAATTTCGATACCTGTGTCCACAAACTGTCGAGCAAAATGTCATGAAAAAATGCCTCTGTGGATCTAAAGCAAATTTTTAGAGACTACAGAAACTTGACAACTAGGGATACACAGAAACGTTATTTGGCTAGTTTAATAACAGTAAAACCTAAAGAAAGGACACGCCGTGGTAACTCAGTCAAAAATAGGCAATTTACAGTTCTTGTATAAGTTGGAGAATATGGATGGTAATATCTGTAAATGTTGCTTTTTGAAAACATTTGGCAAAACCAGAGGTTTCTTAGATGACGTTGTTAAAAAAAAGAAAGCATCTCATACTTCTATCATACTCAAGTCCGGTTTAAGAGGTATGCAGCCGTCAGGTAACAAGCGCTCAGAAGCAGATATCTCATTTGCTCGAAATTTTATTAATATATTTCCAAAATATGAAAGCCACTACAGTAGAAGTCACACTTCAAAGCAGTATTTAGGGCAAGAATTAAATTTACAAATCTTATACAGGTTATATAAAGAAAAACTCAATGAGACAAAATCTAATGCAACTAACGCCTCCTTGAGTTTAAGTGTTTTTCGAAACTTATTTAAAAATCTTAATTTAAAGTTTAAGAAGCCATCTAATGGCACTTGCAAAACTTGTGATTCATTATTTCTGAAAATAAAAAGCTGTGCCTCCGAAGAAGAAAAACAAAGATTAGAAAATGAACGACAACAACACCAGGATAAGGCTTCCTTTCATTATACAACAAAACAAGGCGACAAAGAAGAAAGTATGCGGAGCTTAGGCAAGCTTGTAGTAGTTGCATTTGATTTGCAGAAGTGTTTGGCTACACCTAATTTGACATCTAGTGTGTCCTTCTATAAAAGAAAGTTATGGACTTTCAATTTAACGATCCGCAATATCACCACAAAACGGACATATTGTTATGTGTGGCACGAAGGTGTAGCTCAACGAGGAGCTGATGAGATCGCATCTTGCTTATTTCAGTTTATTAAAGACTTGCCAAAAGAGGTAGAAAAACTAGTCCTCTATTCTGATACGTGCCCAGGTCAAAACCGAAATAATATATTACCGATTATGTTTTTAAAAGCACTTGAAGAAAAGGAAACTCTAAAAGAAATTGATCATAAGTTCCTAGTTCCTGGTCATACTCATTTAGAATGTGATACAGACCATGCTACCATAGAGAGATTTGTGAAAAAAAGAAGCGCCACAATTTCAGTTCCACAGGACTGGGTATCAGTAATTAAAATGACGAGCCCTCGTTTTGACGTAAAATTTATGAAACAAACTGACTTTTTCGGATTTTCCAAACTTCTAACAACGCATTTTATAAAAAGAAATGTTGATAAAGATAAAAATTCTTTTGTTTGGAACAGCATATTTTGGTTACATTACAAAAAGGATAGTGATATAGGCTTCAAATACACATTAGATCCCAATGAACCATTTCGTTCAATGTCCATGCTAAGAAGAGGCAGGTTAACTTCCATGTCTAATATTCAGATACTTCCAACTTATAATGATCCTCTACCCATAGACTATTTGAAATATAAAGATATTCTCGACTTACTACCCTTTATAGATCAAATCTATCATGGATTTTACCATTCGCTTAAACACACTCAAACCAGTACCACACAATATACAAGCGACAGTGATGAAAATTTCGAAGCGTAAGTTTTATTTGGTACAAGTAAAGCCATATATTTCCACAGCAGTGTTTTCCAATACAAAGAAATTGACCAATAATAGTTTAAGTTCTCTCCTCTTTGACCGTTATCTCCATTAAAATACTTTTTAAATCTCTATATTTTTGATACAAATATGATATGTGCCATTATATCAAAAACATAAATGTTAAAACATATTTTGCTTGTTACATCTGTTATAGCACTTAATAAAGTATTTAATGAAATATATTTGGTTTTTTATTTTGTTGCGTTCGATTTAAGAAACCATCTCGAACGTTAAAATTGCTCTACTGAAAAACATGCATTTTGGAGTTATCATGTTTCTCCCAAACACCACAGATTTATAGTCTAAATAGCATTGAAAAGTATTAGGAAACCGATTGATAGTATCTAACCTCGTTGTTGCATTACTAATCCTCGTCTACAGCGTCATAAAATTTTACACTAGGTTGTCGTTTTTTATTTTATGAAAAATATAGTGCAATGCGTTTCCGGCTTTGCGACATTATTCCTTCCAAGAATGTGAGAAAGCCCGATTATTCCTTCTGTGTACAGTTATATGACCTTGACAGTGCTATAATTTCTCATTTATCATTGCCATCAACAGTCAAATTTTCTGTTTCAGAACAGTCAGTCTAAGGTATTTGGAGGTAAATTTGTTAAATTGGAGGTAAATTTATTAGAAGTTTATCCATAAGCCACCGGATTTAGATTGGGATCTTTATCTCAAATACGCATCTTTAACGAATCCATTTTTATTACCAGCGGTAACTAACTTTTGTCCTTTGGAAACTGACTTCCTGAGACCACTACAACTATTATCACTCGAATTGTATTCCTTTAAACAATACGAATACAAGTACATTTCATCTGTGAAAAAAATTGATCCGTTTTTCCTAGGCAATTGTTTACTTTCTTGGTGATAGCATAGTTTTAACTTGCGTTTTTTTTTCTAATGGAAGCCCATATTCTGAATCTCGTTTAGGATATTTTGTTTCATTTTCTCTGCATACTTTAGTTTGGATACTCTTTGTTTTCTTTAAATGGAAAAATATTTATTTTCACTACATTTTCCATTTTAATTCCAAAATGTACCCATTTTGCTTCAAAGAAATATTTAAACACTTGACAACACTGCAGTGAATTTAACGTTAGTAGCTCGATCTCTTACGCTTGATGGTCAAAATAATGAGTTGTAATGCAATAATATAAAATTTGGTCAACGAGCAACAAGCCATTTCTTTTTTGTCGTACTGAAATTAACTACACTTCTAAAACGGTTTAAAGTATCTAATGTAATAAATATATATTTGTGTCGTATAATTCTCATAAAATAAAGTAAAAGTGAAGATATAAAAACAACAATCACCAACCTTGTGTTCGATCTGCAGCTGTTCAGTCTCCAGGTTTCTGATTTGGTTTTGAAGTCGATTTCTCTCGTTTTCTAGGCTCACTTTGATATCTTCGAGATCTAGAAAGAATGCATTAATATCAAACGTTCCGTCACATATCAGATAAACTTTCATTTCTTATCAGTTAGCAACCGCTGCTGTTTATTTTCGTGAAGTTATCAAGTAATTATCAGGTAAATTCCAAAAGTTTTCAAATGTTATTGATAAAACTAAGTGGATTGGGATATGGTCAGGTTTTATTGATTTTGAATCGGTGGCGCTTCGGTAAGAGGTTTGATAATACGTTAGGAGTGATTAATGATTGTTGTGAGAATTCAATTTGATTTTTATTGTGTGTTTATCATGGTGTATTATTAACGCGGTTAAACACTGCTTGTAGAATAATAAACGATATGTAGAATAATATTTTTAAAACTTTTGATTATATGAGAAAAATAATGTTAAATTTTATACAATTTATTAAGATTTTTAATTTGATAAGACCTTAAACAAAAAATAAGAAAAAATCACTGAAAAGGATTAACGAAAGACTAAAAATCTATGAACAGAAAAAACAGAGAACAATAAAAAAATACTTTTCAAGCTTATTCAAGTATGTGCTCCAACCACAGCAGATGCTGATGAAGAGAAATAGGTTTTACAAGAAAATTATGGACAGTTGTATGAATTACCAAAGCACACAAAATTGAACTTCACAGAAAGAATACTATGCTGTAACCAATACTATACTATGACAAAACATTTAGCAATAAAAAAGGCAAAGAAAATATAATATGTCTTCTTCTTCCTCTTTATAAGCAAGTCTGCTTGTTCGTTGGCGGATTAATACCTCTACGGAAGGCCCATTTTACACAGTTGAAAGATCAGGTGATAAATTGTGACTCGACAGTTAAGCACAAAATGGTTTTTCAAGGTGCTTCCTGATAAAAAAAAAGTTTTACGTAAATGGCTGATTTATTCTCCATCCAAAAAAAGTTTGTTCTGTTTTTGCTGTAAACTTTTTATAGAAGATGAAAATAAAACAGGACTCTTTAACTTTGTTTTAGGATTCCAGACCTAGTGGAAATTAAATCCAAAGGTATCCCAACATAAAAACTATGAGGAACACTTGGCAAACCTGGGAAAATGGAAAACGCTTGGCTTACATTTGAAACTAAATAAAACGATTGATACAAGCAATCAAAAAATGATTAAAGATGAAAAGAAAAATGTAACAATCTTTTACATCGTAGTTTAGACATAACTCTGTTCGTAGCTAAACAAAACATATCATTCCGAGGTCACAGGGAAGGCGTGACCGCGGAAAATGGAGACTTGAAGTAAAGGAATATTTTTAAGATTTTTAATTCTTACTGGGAAAAAATCACTAGACATAACCAATGAAATAAATGCACTGGAAAATTATGGATTGGATCTACAATTGTGTAGGAGTCAAGGTAATGATAATGAAGTCATAATGTCGGTATCCATACGGGTGTCCAAGCAAGGATCAAGGAAAAAATAGTAACATCATGTTTGTGCCTGGTAAAAACCATTCTCTCAATTTGTGTGCAGTTCATGCATTTGCAATACATCCTAGCTAGCTGTGTAACGGTTTTTGCAACTTTAGAAAGTGTATATAATTTCTTCTTGTCCTCTCCACATAGATGGGGGATTTTAATGGATGTTATAGGTGTATCTGTAAAACAGCTATCTCATACTAGATGGAGTGCCAATCACGAAGCTGTGAAACCTATTTTGAAACATTTTGATAAATTAGTTCCAAGTTACATAAAAATTATGCGACGCCAAGAAAAATATTAATATACTGATATCTGTTGAAATTTTACTTTCGAACATTTGTGATTTCAAATTTCTTGGATTCCTTCATTTATGGGGGTAAATTTTGCAAGAAATATACAGTGCAAAGAGGTATTTACAGACGGATGGTTTAAGCCTTGAAAAGGCAGTAATAAAACTCCGAAGTTTGAAAGTGTTTTTGGAAGACAGTCGATATGAGTTGGTCACGAAGAATCTCCAGTTTGCTTCGGAAAAATGTGATGGCATGGGAATCTCCCCTGAAAAAAGTAGAAGACGTTTAGAAAAAAAGATAATACAACAAAAAAGATAATGCCTGAAGAAACAGTCGAAGATGCCGGACTATCGCTCGAAGATGAAACTAAAAGATCTATGCTTGAATGTTTAGACAAGCCACACCAAGAGCTTCAAACTGGAATACAAAGAATGAAACTGTATTCAAAAAATTTCAGGTCGAGTACTTATACAATGATTGTGATACAGAACTTTGTGTTTCAGCTGAGAAATTTTGGGAATCCTTCGAAGAATTAGATAAGGAAGATGTTAATGAAATCAAAAGACTTCGAAACCATATAAAAGCTGCAAAAATTAAATGAAGAGGCCAAAAATTAGACTACATTGAAGATGACACAGTTTATTGAGATCGTAGAGCATGTAAAAATATTAAATACACTCTTCGTAGGTACTTACCACCAAATGGTCAGGGCCAATGATATTTTCAGGTATTTTTATACTAGGGAAAGCCAAATACTTAAACCTCATGCTTAAGAAAGCCAAAGTATACAGTCAGCCGAAATACAATTTTTAAGGAAAACAAAAGGATTCACATTTAGAGAACAAATCCGAAATGAAGATATCAGCGCCAAATTAAATACATTCTCCATGAATAAATAAAACACGTTAAAATAAAGTGGACATATATTGGAAGAATCAACCATGACAAAGTGATAAGACGGGTTGTAAAATATAAACCACGCAGAAGAAACGACGTGGAACGGTCCCGAAGAAGATAGCAAGAGGGAACGGAACAGTCTTGAAGCCTAATCCTTAAAGCAAAGAAGAAGAAGAAGAATAAGTTATGCTGGAATATTAACCAGAACGCATATCACTGTCAACAGATGTCAACTTTATTCTGTATTTTGTTCTTATATTCATCTCTAATTAACTATTACATCATTTAAATAGTTTCTGCGTAATTTTTTCGAGTTTAAATAAATATTTAGATAAATTAATAATAAAATACAATTAATTAAAAAAGACAATAAAATATTGCGAACGCCTGGTTACATAATGGGGATCAAAGAAATCCAATTATTAGTTATGCAGACGACGCCGCATTAATCGCCGAGACAGAAGACGAGCTCCAAAGATTAACACACATCTTCAATACAACAGCCAAGAAATACAATATGATAATATCAGCAGAAAAAACCAAATGTAATACAACACCAAAATACTTCGACGAATATTAGTAAAAAATCTGTTGAATAGGGAGGGAAGCCAAAACATAAGAAGAGCATGCAATATAGAAGACATAAATGGATGGGTGACAAAACGGAACCAGGAGTGGAACGAACACATTAGTAGGATGGCAGAAGATAGGATAGTACGAATAGCACGAAATAAGTCACCAAATGGACGAAGAAGTATTGGCAGACCAAGAAACAGATGGTGTGATAATTTAAACAATTTAGGAGGCTAATATTGTAGAAGAAACAGGCTTTAAAGCCTACATACAAAAATGAAGAAGAAGAAGAAAAAGAAGAAGCGAACTCCTGTTAGTAATTGCGGTACGTCATAAGTTTGTGCAGATTAACTGATTATATTTTGATAAGGTAGGATACTTTTGAGGGATCTCGTATAAAAAATTTACAAAAATTAGTAAAATTATTTAAAAAATTATCTAAAATAGATTTTTATTATAAAAAAGAAAATTTGATTAATTTGACTACTTAATAATTACTTAAAACTAAAAATAAAGTTATAACACTTCACTTACTTGAGATAGCTTTGTAGGCATCTTCCAGCTGTCTAGCTTGCTCCCGTTTTTCGCTCTCCGTTTTCTTGATGTGATCTCTTAGCTCTTTGTTCGTATTGTGATACTTCTCCTTCTCGAAATTACCGTCTGCCAGCAACCTCCGTACATCCGTTAGCTCTTTTCTGAGAGATTCTGAATTATTTTCAGCTGCAAAAACAAACAATTATTGCATATATGACGATAGAAGTAAAAAAATGCCATTGCAGTGCCGGTTTTAATCGAAGGCTGTATTAGTTAAACTACGTGAAGTAATATGAAATGATTTTAACAGTGATTATTTTCTTGTGACATATTATAAGTTTGTTTTCAGTGGAGTACTTAATATGATATGAAAACAAAAAAATAGCAAAAAATACCAAAATTAAATTAGCTAATAGTTCGGTCGTCAGAGAGGAAAATGCCACTAAACCTCTAACGATCATACGAATACACTGAATTTTGCTGAGAATGTCAGTTTTGGGACCCCAAAAAAGACGCAAAATAGTTTGACACTCCTACCACCGGGCTTCCCCCTAAAACCCTCGTCGTAGGGGAAGGGAACGGAAAACATCGATTTACCAAGAATCTGTACGTCATGGAAAAACTGTTTCAAACAAGAAATGTAGCTGAGATACATTTCTTCTTTGAAAAACTCGATATCTTTTGATGTGTCCTATCGACCAATAATATTGACGAGTACTGGGATCGACTAAAACATTGTCTACTGCAACCCTGTAAAAAAATACTAAAGACTTCCGCAAGGAGAAAAGAAGAATGGATGAATGACGAGATAGTCAATATGATGGAACTACGGAGGCAATTTGAAAACAAAGACAACAATAAATACAGAGAGATCAACCACGAGATCACGAAGATGATAAAGCAGGCAAAAGAAAAATACTGTGAAGAGAAATGCAAAGAGATCGAAGACCTTCAAAATAAATATGATCTGTTTAACCTACACAAGAAAGTTAAAGAATTGGCAGGGCTAAGAAAACAAAATCCCACTCGTGCAATTCTGGATAGACTATGACACATACAAACGAGAAAGTACAAATTTTCCGATGATGAAAGATGAGATCTGGAGCACATAAAAGTTACGTCAGAAGAAATAGGTCCATATATTACAAAAAAAGAAATTTTCACGTGACGTGCGATCGTTTGTAATGGGAAAATTTAAATTTAGCGTTCTTAGTCATGTTTCAAATGCCTCATATTTGTTGTCAAAACTCAAAATCGAAAGAACCCGGAAGACTGGTGATTTTGATATTAATTTTAGTAATAATATTAATCTTAGCCCTATATATATATATATATATATATATATATATATATATATATATATATATATATATATATAATTTAAAAAAATAATTTTCTAAGCTATTTTGTCATTTATGCATGCGTTTTCATTGCTTTGTGACAATTAATCACGGAAGTGATAAACAATTACGACTTTTTTACGGAAGTGATACCTCTTCTGTTTTAAAAATACTTTTTGGTTTGATATATATATATATATATATATATATATATATATATATATATATATATATATTATATATATATATATATATATATATATATATATATATATATATACAGTGTAGGAAAAATTTTATGGTCGGTATGGACCTTACGTGAGATGGAGTGAGAAACAGCTGTTTAGAAAGAGAGAGGTATATTAGGTCCGCCCTTTATATCGCCAAACATGTATGCCTGGAAAGGGGAAGTTCAACGTTGCCAAACTTATTGGATTTATTTGACCTGTTGTTTTTTTTTGCATTTGAACAATGTTCTAAGATAATCCAATTTGGGCGAAATTGATTGAAATGGCAGCTTACTGTTTTTTTTTATTGGGAATATGCCACAAGTTTACTTTACAATAAGTGTAATATAACATTTTGATTTCCACTTTGGAAATCGTTTTATATAAATAAAATTTATTAATGTTTCGTATTTTAAGTACGATTTCCGAATTAAAATTCTAAACATCAAAATAAGCTTATTTTAAAATCACATTGTGCCTTATTCCCAATATGAAATAATAAACTGCATACAATAACACCACATTAAGGCCATTCCTCGCGATTCTGGGCATAACTAAATTCCAATGTAAAAGTTTATATCAAATAACGCAAAAACTATGGCAGATATTGAGATGATTCTTTTTTTATATGAAAGGTCTTAAAAAGTTCTAGTGCACTATTTGATTGTAAATTAATAAATTGTTTAAACAATATTTTTTTTTTAAATATTTTTGGTTAAAATAAACGTAAAAATTTTTTTTTTGAAATAGGGCACTACAGAATTTTACCCACTTTCCGAATCTGTTTTTATTTTTAACATAAAGTGTAAGACAAAGCAGCTATTTCATATAAACTATTTAAAAAATGTTAAATTGTGCTAAATGTACTCTCTCTCTCGGTCAGTACAAGCTGTCCTTGTTGATAGTTTGTAGACTCTCGCCGACGAGTAGGTAAGAAAGTTGGAGGGTCGTAAATAATGTTGAATAACATTATTAGGGCTTATTTCGACTTTTGACTAGTTTTGACAAACCAGTGTGTTTTGTTGTTTTTAAAATGGGTAGTTCGCGAAGACGTTTATGCTCCGGACGAAAAAGTCGACGACGATTGAGGAAATTTTATATAAATAAGCAGTAAGTACCTATAATTTGATTAAATTTTTATATGAATAGAAATATTTTCTGTTGAGTTGTGACATTTTCCTTCTAAATGCTTATACTGTTTTTATAATAATACTATTGTTTCAATATTTACTTATATAATTATAATTTATTATGTAGAAACAGAGTAGAATTTTGGTCAATCGGTCAGTACATTTTTTTGTATTTCAATCAGAATTATTATTTTCTTTTCTTCTTTACATGAGCTCAGAGTAATACCCAAATAGTTTGCAGTATTTGAATATGGAATTTGATTAATTATATTTATTGGACTATTTATTTTGAACGTTTTTGTTAGTAAAGTTTACATAATATATTTCGTCACTTGCTTGTCCAGTCATATTAGTCCAGAGTAATAAGGATTTTCTCGTGACAATCAATAATCCAGGTAGCTGACAACTATTTTAGTTATTGTAGACATATAAGAACAAAACCTACCTGTTTCCTGTCTAAAGTTCGGAGCCGTTTTTTAATGATTTAATGTAATGCAAGAAACGCGATTTTTTCCACTCATTAGAAAGCTAAATACTTGACATAAAATTACAAAATTTTATCTTTTAGAATATTGACAAAGCTTCAAAATGCTGATTTTTGTAAGTTGAAAAGTCAATTTGTTGCTTTACAAACTGCAAAATAAGTGACAATTGATATTCGTTAAAAACTTTGAATACAACAACTTTACTTTAGAGTTCCAGCGAAGGTTGGGTATTGGGATACTTAACAAACCCTCAAAATTTGGAACCGATATATTAATCAGTTTAAAAGTTTTTGTATTTGTTTATCCCAGAGGTCTTTTTTTACAATAAAATAAGACAGAAAATATTAAAGATAGGGTAATGCTGTGGGCGACAAATGAAAGCAAAAGATACTATCAATATGTATTAAAAAATGATAAAAAAATGATTTATCATAATCAAAAATCCTGATGCCAAATTTTTGAAATTATCTAGTTTATAAACATTTAGAACTTTAAAAACATTGCCCTTAGAAGAAATCTTTTTTTACATTCGAAAAGCTAGTATTTTCCCCGAATTTTCAAATAAAAAAATTTGACCTAGGTTAATTTGGGTCAAAGTTAGCCATGTTTTTTTGTTTATTCACAGCTAATTTGATTATAATAATTAAGGAACCTCTTTGACGCCATGATAAAGAATGGGATTTGTATTTTTTGATAAAAAATTTGCACAAATGTTGTACCTTTACAGGACCTTCTACGAATTTTAAAAATGTAGTTTAAATGGTGATTAGGAATAACCTACAAATTCATGGAGTACAAATCTATACCGAACAAACAATTTGTAATTTGTTTATATATTAATTAATTAATTCATAATCTAGTTTGTTTAAACAATTAAATGTGAATAGTGAAAAAATAATTTTCTTCCAAAAATCTATTTTTTTAACACTATTATCATTAATAATCATAGTAAAGATTGCGTTTTTTGCCTTAAATTGTTAATAATTAAAAAATGGCTCCAAATTCAAGGCAGGAAACAAGTAGGTTTTCTTCCTATAGGTCTACAATAACTAAAAAAGTTGTCAGTGACCTGGATTATTGAGTGTCACGAACATGGTCTATTTTTTGCTTATTTCCGTGGAGTAGGTATATATTTGATAAAGATCTGTGTAATTTCTCTGTCGCTTCCTGGCTGGTTTTGCATATTGCTATGATAGAAGTGTCATCGATAAATGTTTCAATTGTATTATTTTCTAGGACAATAATATAATACGTATACAAAAGGTATACAAAAGACACTTCTTTGTGGCAGCCCTGCTGTAATTTCTTTCAGTTCCGTTTATGTATATTCCTGTTTAATTCTGAAATATCTTTCCAAATTTTTGTTAAATGTTGTTTTGTGAAGAACTGTTATTGTTGTTTTATGTTATTCAAGATGTACAACAGCCTTTTACTATTTTTAATTTTATGTAAATTAACCAACATTTTTTTATAATTTAAATGTTGGTAAGCCTTTCATTATTTTTTGTTATACCTACGCATTTAAATTTTTTTCTACTTTTAATATTTTCTTCTCTGCATTCAATCTTCTTTCGCATTGTAGAATTTCTTGAAAGAGGAAATAAACTTTTCAATATGAAGTTGATTTTCAATATATCGTGTGTTAAATACCGAAATGTCAAAAGTCAAAATCTACAACTTTTCAGGAGAGCGAAAAAACTTCGCCGCTTGGTACATATTTTTTTTCTCAATACTTACTTAATTATTACAACAGAAATAAATTTATCGAATTATTACATCAGAAAAGAAAGTAGAAAAAGAAAACACGTGTACTAAGCAGTGACGTTTTTTTCGCTCTACTGAAAAGTTGTAGATTTTGACTTACGAGGTTTCGGTATTTAACCATGTATATATCATCATCAACCATCATCATAAATGCCTAGACAATCCGTCTTGGCCTGCTCGTACAGAAATCGCCACTCCTGTTGATTCCTGGCAACTTCCCTTCATCTTCTGACCCTTAGAATCCGCTTCTGACACATTATCAATCCATCTTCTTCGTGGTCATTTTTAACTTCTTCTGCCCTCTGGTTTTGAAAATGTTAATCTCTTCATGTATTCGTGATCTGACATCCTAGTAATGTGTCCAGCCCATCTAAGTCTCTGAGACGCTATACTCCATTTTCATTTACGACCTCAAAAATCTTTCTAAGAATTTTTCTCTCAAAAATACCAAGAAGTCTTTCATCATTTTGAGATAAGATCCGCGTTTTAGCCCCATATATCAAAATCGGTCTTATCAAAAAGTTCTTGTATATATCGAGCTTTACTGCACGTTTTATATTTTTATTTTTTAAATGTTTCTGGAGACCGTGAACAGTTCTGTTTTCTATTGCTATGCGTCGTTTTATTTCGTTGCTTGTCGTGT